CGAAACTGCCAATATATCATGAAATATCCTACCTGATTGTGAATAAATGACAGGATCAAGCATCCTGTGAAATCGTTGTGCTAAAGTATGCCGTCAATTTCTTGGAACTATGGGGAATTACCATCATTTTTTGTACTCACAAATACTGCCCCCAATTGACCGAATTTAGTTTAGTGAAACTTGCAATCGGTTACACATCCGTGTTACCACTTGTAAGATGGTGCAAGTCAGGACTTATGAATGGACATTTTGAAAAGAAGGCCTTGGAGGTGTTGAGAAAAAAATTATGCACGTCACAGTTTTCTCGAGAAGTATATATCTCTTCAAGTGAAATTTAGTGTTTCAATAATATGCTCCACAATTATTACCTTTAAATCCAACTACCTGTATAGGTCTAGTCCTATTTGGTTTTATTATATCCATCGATGCAAGGTATTGTTTTGACAGTTAAATCTTTGGTTAAAAATCACAAGTGTTTCATGTACATGTACTACATTCATTTAAAATCCACAATATAATGTGTTACTATCTATATTATTTTTGAACAGAAATACATAATTGCTAGCAAAGAACATAATTTTGTAAACAAGGGCCTGCTATTTCAGCCAAAAAAAGGAGGAAATCAAATACAAAAAAGCCAAAGGACAGCAGATTATAATATAATAATTATCTTCCTGTCAACTCGTTCATCGTCCAAGTGTCTTGCATTAACATTTTCAGCGGGAGGTTCTTCCATTACATCGCGAGTTGGTAATGAGATTTCGGACAAAGACAAGCTTAAAAAATTAGGTCTAGTGCGACGGCGGCTGTGTTTACAAAGTCCTCGATAAAAGTGAAAGTAGTGGTTGTTATGATCAAATTGGGGGGGGGGGGGGGTTTATGGGGTGGGTTATATGGCTGCAGAGGGGATGGCACAAAATCAGCGTCACGTACGTGCGTGCAGAATACCTCTTCTTAGTAATTTGCCTGAGAAATAAATACATGTCTGACAAACCGACAGGAACCGTGAGTAAGGAGCAACCAGGCCCAGAACCAAAAATAGCAATATCGATGTTGATTGTAATGTTAATAAGAACGTCATTGAAACCAAGAACAAAAGATATGGGTGAGTTGGAGCAGCAAGAGATACGAACAGTCATAATATGAATCGACTTGTAATTTGTAGCGAATTGAGATTTGCAAAAGGCCAAGAAAGAGAACGTGCTCTTCAATGCCGACATGATTCCGGAATCAGATGCAAGTATGGACTCCATCGTGGCTTTTATGAAACCGAAGCACCTGAACTATCATGTAGAGTAATGCAAGTTGGATGATGAGTCGGGGTATAAAGAGTTCCAGCGGAACATTCAAATATGGCCTTGGGGACTCCATTAGGGAATGCTAGAGGACCCGCGGGACGCGACTTGTCTTCCCCTAACGGATCGGATTTCTCATCTTCTGGTTGGTCCATTACATGCATATCTCATGCCTTGTACTCGACAACACAAACGCAAAATACAGGGTGGATAAAAAACCGAAACCGAGATATTATTGCTAATTGGAACAGAAGTAGGGCATATGTGAATCAAAGGGAGATATCCTCTGTTAAGGTCGAATCTCCTCTTTAAAATGACACCCTGATCAAGCATATTACATTCACGGTTGACTGAGCAGAGACCAATTTTATGAAAGGGTCTATTGAGAGACTTGCACCACTTTTCATGGTGAAATCTCTCTTATTTTCCCCCACCTGGCTTGAGTTGGCAACCATAGCCTTTCACTCTGTGACAATTGACACAACAAAACCCACAATTGAAAAGTGGGTAAATTGATAGGGCCTACTCTAAATAGACCCTTTCATAAATTTGGTCTCTGCTCAGTCAACCGTGAATGTAATGACATGACCAGGGTGTCATTTTAAAGAGGAGATTCAACCCTAACAGAGGATATCTCCTTTTGATTCACATGTGCCCTACTTCTGTTCCAATTAGCAATAATATCTCGGTTTCGGCGGTTTTTGTTTTAAACCACCCTGTATGGGATTCACGTGTTGTAAGAAATGTTCCTTCCTCACTATATATTATTCAAAAGATAAAAAAAAAGAAGCGAAACATTAAAGGTCTCACTGAGACTCGAATACTGATCAACTGAGTAGAAGCCAGGACTACATTCAATCAGTCCACGAATTGTTGCCAAGAGTCGGTGATTTAAACACCCTTATTCCTGATTTTACAACTAATTCTCTAAAGTCATTGGACATCTGTAAATAAGCATAACGGGGAGAGGATGCAAACTTTCGATATTATCTGATCCTAATTGAAAAAAAAAATCGCATCCGGGACAAGTCTCGACTCCAATGTTTCTTGATTCGGATTTATAGGCACGCTGGATCGGATCGGACTCGATACAAGACCGGCAAAGGTCTTCATTCTGTTTCTTTTACCGTAAATGGACAATGGTTGGAACGCACAGTATTGGTTGTAGCGTAGCGAACTTATATTATCATTCGCAATTGATTTTTCATTTTTATTGATACAGTACAATTTAAAACATACCTCGGCAAGTTATCACACGTCCATCTCCGTTCCTTACATCTGTACGGCCTGTAGGAAATATTTATCATGTGGTCGTAAGCCATTGAAATGAGCTGTGATATAACGATATTTCACATTATGTCATAATTATATCATGTTGCAATTTGACTTTTAATTTTCGACACGATTCCCACTGCAAGTGCGATATTTAAACCCATTGAGATGCACAATTATAATAGACTTATAACCATGAATGGGGGGGGGGGTGTAGGTAATAATGTGAAGTCAAATTTTATCAACAACAATCCGGTTCAATTGGGAGTTTCTTGAAATTGCCCTGATTTATTCCCATTCCTGGGTTCCTGTTTTTTGTATTAAAGAGACATTTTTGTCATAATAAGGACAGGGAAATCTTTTTTCTTCATGGGGGAAGTGTCCCGAAATATAAGTGTGATCCAGATCCTTGAAATTAGTTAAGAAAACGCTGAAAAGGATCAAATCTGGATAAATGTGCAGCTTCAAGTTAACTCCAGCACTGTTAAATTCTACCTGCGGTTGTTCCAAAGGGTGTAACTGCGGGCGACATGCCTGATAGAGTGCGCCCTCTATCCTCCATAATAGGGTAGGCCCACATCAACAGCTGCTCGGGCTTTCCACTCTGAACAATAAGAATCATCTACGGGACCCTAACAGGTCTTGGTCACCATGATGTCATATTCAAACTTTGATGTACCTGGCATGAGGGTATTACCGTGACTGTATCATCAATTAAGGATGCATATCTCGAGACAGGTGACTCGTTTCATAATCTTCTTATGGCCTATCCTGCAGCTTTTCCCCTGGGGTTCCGTTTCACACTGAGTGATGCACATGATGCAAGGCGTCCCCCTTGGGTGCAAATCTTGGTCCGTAGGTGTCCACCTAATGATGTGAGTGGCCGCGGTGTGACAACAAGGTGTAACATCGGGAAATTATTCAAATCGCAAATGCAAAAAATAGATTGAACTTATCACCTGACGTGGAGCAAAGGAATTTTAAAACAGCTGAAGACTGTTTCTTAGCTATTATTATGGCCATCTTCGTATTCCCCGAGAACTAATGATTCGTGAAAGAACTAATGACGTGGTCAGTCGGGAATGCGATGCCCGTGGACAATTATAATACATTGGGAATATAGGCCTTCTCTAAATGAAATAGTAATTTATGTAATAACAAAACAATTGAGGCAGCAAACACAACAGTTTTTGATTGACCCCAAAAGGGTGGAACAAACAGTTAGATATGAAATACCAATGTACAAACTACAACCAATTACATAAAGAAACCACACCTCAGAATTGTGCACTGCAGCCCTTGATGTGAATTTTTAGAATCTCTGTCTACTTTTCTTCAAGCGGTAAAAAAAAAATCAGCACAGGAATGAACAAGTAAACAACTGGTAATTTATCCTATAGTAAAGCCGGTCCGAAGCGCGCACGAAGTCTATTCAATTCCAACAAAGAAGGCCTGACGTTGCAATCTTAACAAGACCTTTTTTTCTTAGGCAAAGGCAGTTGGGACAAGAAAAGAGGGATTAAATAGAAGACGATCGCTGGCGTGGGTGAAGATTAAATCATTCAGAATATAGCTATTCATTGGAGGTCTTTCATGCACCTGGTCTACACAAAGGTCTGGATTTAGCCCATTCACCAGTGACGGGGAGTCAGTCAGTGATTCAGTCAGTCACTGAGTCAGTCAGAAAATGAGATAGTTGCAAAGAGAGGTCTAGCAGTAAACCAACCAATAGTAGCTGATCTCGAGTGATGAAACTTCAGTTGATTTTTCTCTCGAATTTGAATCACAACTATACAGGGTGGTGCGTATAGAAGGAAACCCAATTTTTGACAGCAATTGTAACTAATTGTTGAGCATATTTCAAAAATTCTATTTAATCGTTTTAAAATATTGATCTTTAAACATAAGTGACGAAAAAAAGGATTGCAAATGCGTATTTTGTCTCTGAGATATGGTAGTTTAAAAATGTCATGTGTCAAGCCTGTTTGTCTTCGGACGGCTTTATCCCATCCGCTTGACTGAGCTCCGGAGCTTGATTTAAAGACAAAAATCACTACATTAGACTTGCACGTGGATAACAGTGATTTAACATATTAGCATTATAACACTATTCTTGTGATTTTTTAAAGACTTCTTTCACCATGTATGGGTGAAGAGCTATACTTCACTACATTATGAAAACAGAAACAGTTCAAATAAGTTAAGTAAGTAGTTTAAAATTCCTGTCAAAAGTGGGTTTTCTTCTTTTTGCATCACCCTGTATGTTAACAAAATCGAAGCTGCAAGACAGACTTTCGTATTGTTGGTATATAAGTTGCCTAGTGCAACCCGTTTTTCAACCCAACCATACAAACGACCCACACCGAAGTCCGAAACTAAATGTTAGTTTTTCTGAAAAAAATTTGATGTTGTTTCTCTCTCTCTCTCTTGCAGGGACACCGATGTGGTCTCTCCTTCAGATTGCTCCCATCAAAAATGAGAAAGATCAAATCGTACTATTTCTATGCACGTTCAAAGACATCACGTCCCTCAAGCAACCGATCGAGGACGAAACTGCAAAAGGTACGAAGACACAGTTCCCCATAGTGTGCCCCAAAACGTGTTGCTAATCGGCCAATATTTTGCATTTGGGCAATTTGACTAAATTTGAAAGTCCCCAAAGTATACTAAAGTAGACACAGAAAGGTTATAGTCCTGAGCTTTACTACCACATCTGATAGCTTCTGACATCTTTACTCAAAAGGAAATTCTGATGTCTGAGTACCCGGAAAAATATGAAAAGTAAGCATGGTCGCTGGATATAGCTAACATTTCAGTTCTATTAATATAATAATGATGGCGACCCTTGTGGTTAGTCGTGGGGATATTACTTCAATCTTGTTATCTTGTTTTTGATAAGTGTTACATTAAAAAAATTTTTTACATCGATGGCACCATATGCATTTCATGAATTAGTAATTTTAGTCCCTTTGAATAACCAACGAAGAACGCCTGTTATCAGTTTTATTTTATTATTAATAATAGACGTAATATACAAGCAATTTTTTTTTAGTAAAATTTAATTTCTAAAGGCTCACTTGATTGTTTTCTAGGACTCAGCAGATTTGCTCGTCTTGCAAGGACCGTCACCAGGAGTAAATCAGTACTTGTACAAGTGGCTCAACACCTGCCCAACATGAAATCAGAACAAAGCACGCAAAATCAGATATCGCAAATCGCACACGTAAGTCTATGGCTTAAAACAGTTTACTTTCATTCAATATGGCAATGGTTGTGTTAAGAGAGATAACGTTTTCCACAGAGTGTTTACTGTGTTCTTCTGTTTATGGTTTAAAAATAGGATACTGATGTGGACTGAATGTTACAATTCGCGATAAATTATCTCCAAGAACCCTCTTGCGAATCTGTACCTCTTTGGTTAAAACGGAGAAAAAAAACACCGACATTAGAATCTCTAACTGCATCTGGGGAGTTATATTCCCCGGAGACCCATGGCAGGGGCAGATCCAGCTTTTTCGCGTAAATCCGGTGTAGCATAAATTTAGGTTTTATGAAATACGGATTTATTGGTGATACTGCGCATGCTCATGCATAGATAATTAGGAGAGGGACTGGTCACGTGAGAGGGTTTAACCAATAAAAGGGAAAAAGAGTCCGATTTTCTTACGAGTCCGATGTTCATATGACACCACCACTACATGCATGGCCTACACCAGGCGGTATGTTCCATGCACGGCAGAATACATAACTGAATACGTAACTGAAACAGAATACATAACTGAAAACATAATTCATAACCGAATACTTAACTGTGACGATTGTTATGTTGACCACAACACAAATAAAAAAAATATCTTGAGCCATGGTATTTCTCTCATATATAATTGTGGATTCTTACTCGTTCCAGCCTTCGTTATTTTTGGTATCATTAAGACTGGCAATCACGATGGATGAAACTTGCGTTTCATTACGAAAATAGATTTTGTTTTATAACTTGCATTTTCCCTCCCTAACAATGCAAGGTTATTTACGTTCGGTTGAGAAAACGAGGGGAAAAAATCGCCCCACGTTTAGTTATAAAACAATAACTTTAGTTGTATTGACTTATTGTGGCCCAAAATAATTCAGCTCTTGAAGGGTAAACTGGTCTGCCCCCCCCCTCTCTCTCTCATTTGGTAATCGATAATATGGGGGCTGTTTGTTCGAAAAAGGAACAAAAACTGAAAGACTTTATCGTGAGGGTTGCAGACGCCCAAAAATATAGAGACAAAGTATTTTCCCACCAAGAAAAACATACACGTTAAAATGCTTTAGAAGCACACACACCGAAATCTTTTAAGGCAGGGAAAGTTAACCTCTAAGAAAACTGCAGTGTAACATAACTGAAGGTAGCCGACGAGGAAGTTCAACAGTAGCCGCGTCGGGCCAAACGCTTGGTGGCGCTGTTGTGAATCACTATTTGGGTCATATCAATAACACAAACATAAAATCATGGCATCACAAGAGGGTACATAAACTGAAGGTCAGTGCTCTGATAGAAATCTTTTATTAAAAAAAATCGTTAAAACGGGAAGGATTGGGAGTATACCTTTTTAGACTTTGTGGAATTACTTTACATGTATCGAACAATTTGCGTTGCACTTGTAAACTGGTCCCCCCCCCCCCTTTTGAAACTGGGGACCGGGAACGAGTTTACGTGCAGGGAACCATGCCAGTATACCATGACCTACGAATAATACACAATTCTATCAGAAAAAAAGTACGTACAACACAATACAAAAGGCCTACAATACAATAAAAACTTTATTATCCAATTGCGGGAAATTCGATGGCATTTTTACACGTAGTTTGATTTCAAACACATTAAAAAGTACGAATGTACAAACTACACAACTACAAAAATACCCCAAACAAAAAAATTATCTCAAAAGATATGTCTGTAAGCAAGTTAGATATCTATTTGCTGTGTGACTGTGTAACGTATGCGTTACATGCAACGGGAGAGCCGCTCGAGTTTTGAGTTACATCGAAAGCCTGTATAGCATAGTTGACGACGTCATAATTTACAATAAATCCCCTTCTGTAATGCTGTACAATGCAGTAGGGCGTCTCGTCGCGTCAGAAAATAAATCTAGCACTGGCATAATAAACCCATGGCAACCGACAACGTAGGCTACGTCAAGCATGATTAACGACAAACGCTTGCTCCGGTTCCGCAAAGGCGTATACACTTGTGGCCGACCAATTCTAGCCTGTTTTTGTTTTCAACGCCTAATTTGCGACATAGGTCAGCCATGATAATTCTTCAGTGCTGAACTGATTCATTTCTCTCCTTCAGTCAATAGTGTGGGAATTGAATTGAGCTTTCATGTGTGGTTGATGTTGAAACGATATGCATGAATGAAACCATGAATTCTAAGTTTATGGAGTCAAGTTATAGGTTTTTGGATATCAAATCATTTCTTGAACAACTTCGATTGTATATGTTATTGTTTTGAGCAGCCCAACACGGCTACCTGTTAAATTTGAATAACTTAACACTTAGGGGAGTCAACTCCAACAAGTAAAAATCGGTTAGGAGTCATATAATTAACGGGAAAGATATCAGTAAAATACCTATAAAAACAAAGTCACAAAATAGAGTGATGAAAATAAAATGTGATTGATTTTTTTCTTAAGGAGAATAATAAAAATATTACCAGTTCTCACCAACTGAGTGACATTAGGACACAAACTCAGAATGCACGAAATTACAAGACGACCGTAACATACGTCCAAAATGTTCATGTTTAACGCATTTGTTAATTCTTGTTTCATATTCTTTCCAATAAAATGCAACTCGTGTTTTGTAGACCCTGCACACTACTACATGATTTGCGAAGAGTGTGTGTATCTAAGCTTTAGCTCCATTTATTAGGACCTGTAGGAAAATACCTGCAGCTTATAATCAATATTAGAATTCACTTGAAAGTACCGCTGAAGAACCCCTCGACTGGAAAACACGGGGATTAAAAGATTGATTTATCTACAGACGTCTGGAAAATTCACCCGCTCAATTGCACTTTTTTTTTAATCCAAAGCAGCGGATGGCAGCGAACCCGTAGAGGGCAAAATTCTGTTCCATACATAAACACAAAATGTAATTCAAATGATAGGCCAGCTCAGATACACCAATAGTTGGAAATAGAAGACACTAGTAACTGTTATGTTTATGCATAAAGCAGGAGAAGGATAATGATTTCATCTGTCCCGGGACAGTACTGTTGATAATGGCGATGTGTTAATTGTCCTTAAGAAAACATTGGTGGTGTTGGTTGTATTGGTGTCGCTAACACTGATATTAATAACATAACGGAGTGAAGTACCATAATAAATCCAGGATTTTTCAAATAGGGTGGCTAGGTGTTGAATTCAACACATAAGAGACAATAGGCCCTAAGCAATTTGATGTCCAACAATGTTTGACGTTATTTGGGATTTTTTTTTCTCTAAGTAATCTATAAATTGGTGAGACTAAACAGGTGTGGGTTTAAGTGGCTTATCACACCAACCATCACCTAAATCCACCCTTTAGATGTAATACACGTAGACTTTAAGTAACTTTTGCGTAAATTCAAATTTCAGGAATTAACATTCGAAACCTGCGATAGATTCATTGGTGGACTGCTTTTACGGACGCGATTTAACGTAATTGCCTTATGTTCTAGATCTTTGGGTATCTTAACAACCTGTGAGGGCAGAATAGCCAGTTGCGGTTTTTGCTTTTGCAAGGAGGCTATGACCGTTTGTTACAACTGATAATGTAGTAACCATCGGATAGCATATCACTGACCGATAATGTCACACAAATTGACCGATATTGCATCACGAACCGATAATGTTACACAAATTGACCGATAGTGTAGTAAAATGTACTACACTATCAGTCAATTGTGGTAACATTATCGGTCCCAACCGATAATGTAACAAAAAAAACAGACTGAGAGTGTAGTACATTTTACTACACTAGCGGTCAATATCTGTTACATTATCGGCTAGTGATACAATATCGTGAATTTGTGTGATATTATCCGTTGGTGATATGTTATCCGTTGGTTACTACATTATCAGTTGTAACACCGTTGCCTATGTTGTATAAGCTCCCGAATGTGACCGTGTATGATCCGTGGTTACACTAACTGCCCATTGAGTGGAATTTAAAACGATGTGTTGATTCTCTAAAACCTTTGTTTTTAATTGTCCTTATAATTCATTACAGATGCTGATTCTGGATGCCGAGGTCTTGCCGCAGTATAAGCGAGAGGCGCCCAAGACACCGCCTCACATCATTCTACATTACTGCACGTTCAAAACAATGTGGGACTGGATTATTCTCCTACTCACCTTTTATACAGCGGTAGCTGTGCCTTTCAATGTTGCCTTTGACACACAAACTGCCAAGGACTATATCAGTATGGTTGTAGACGGCATTGTGGACATCGTCTTCTTCATTGATGTCATACTGAATTTCCACACCACCTTTGTTGGTCCTGGGGGCGAGGTTGTGTCTGATCCCAAGGTCATCCGTATGAACTATCTCAAGTCTTGGTTTATCATTGATCTCCTTTCGTGCCTGCCATATGACGTCATCAATGCTTTCCAGCAGCAAAATGTTAGTAAAGACACCTTTTATTTATTCTTGTTAGCAATCATCATCTTTTTGGTGTTGCCAAGTCTTGTTAAAATGCATGATCTTTGAACAGCTTTAAACTTTGGGAAAGTGCTTAAGAACTGTTCGCACAATGTACGTGAGAGCTTTGGATTAGGAGAAGTTTATTAGGGAGGCGCAATATCAGTTTAGAAGTGGGAGGAACAGTAGTCTCGGTAAATAGCCTCAATGTCTACAGATAACGAACGAATAAACATCGAATGATGAATAGAATCCGGTACATAGGATGTGCAAGATGAGAATCGAACACTACGTTACTAAAGCTTTACCGGAATGACGAAAACAAAATTCAATTTACAATTACCTTCAAACTTGAATCAAATTTTCTTCAGGGAAAGTGTATCGTGAATTCGTGATCATAATAATGGTATGAATCATTTTAATCAGAGAGATTGTTTTTATCCACAGCAGAATTTGAGCACTATATTCAGCGCACTGAAGGTAGTCAGGCTCTTGAGACTTGGCCGTGTCGTCCGGAAACTAGACCACTACATTGAATACGGCGTGGCCTTCCTGATTCTGCTCATGTTGTCCTATATGCTCTTCGCCCACTGGGCTGCCTGTATCTGGTATTCGATCGGGTTGAGCGATGCTGACGCCAACAACACGAACGGCTGGCTGGCCAAGCTGTCCAAAGATGTCGATATCGCGTACAGTTACTCCGCTCAGGGGGTTTTCGACCCGAACTCGGGACCTGATGTAACTATGAAGTACATCTCCTCGCTCTATTACACAATGAGCAGTTTCACCAGCGTTGGCTTTGGAAACATCGCGGCTAACACCGTGCTGGAAAAGGTCTTCACTATCCTGATGATGGTGGTTGGATGTAAGTAGGCCCTTATTATTATCTTAAGTTATCCTAAATTATCCCAGTTTGTTTGCAAGATTTTTTGCATGAAAGAGGGCGGGAGGAAGGTCAAGAAAATGAGAATGGTAAGGATAAACATAGCAATTCGGAGATTTAAAATGTTCAGAAAGTGGTGAACCTGAACACTGAAAAAAAACTTGGTTGAAAACTTGTTTTTTTCCCAACATAGGAATGATATCATTTCGATTGGTCGTTTATTCGGGTAGAAGTTTACCGACTTTGCCAAAAGGTATAGTCATTTGGTTTAATGGTCAACATTGGGCAAAATACCCAACTCATTTGCCCCACTTTTGTTGAGTGAATGTGTCTGGAGTTTGGGAAACTCGAGCCATTGTTTCATTGTTTTTATGACACTGTGACACCATTTTGAATTTTGTTTTGTCATACGGCAGCTCTTCTTTACGCCACCATCTTTGGTAACGTAACCACCATATTCCAGCAGTTCACGCACAACACCGCTAGGTACCACGACATGCTGAACAACGTCAAAGAGTTTATGAAGCTCCATCAAGTTGACAAAGGTCTATCTGAGCGTGTCATGGACTACGTGGTCTCTTCCTGGTCTATCAGCAAAGGAATCGACTCCGAAAAGGTACAACAAAAGTGCAGAAAATGATATGCAAGTGCATGCGTGTGTGTTTATGTTGTAAATCGAGGACACTCACGTGCAACATCATCAATGAATCCAGGACAGAAACCGAATCGAGGACTCCTCGGTTGCAAAACGTGTACAAAACCAATGACAGCTGTTGCGAAAAAATTGAAGTACAAACAAAGGAAAAGGGAAGAGGAAAGCAAAACAATCCTCTAATTACACCATAAACAAACGTGTGTGCAGTAGGCGTAGGCCTTTGTGCAAAGTTTCTGAACCAATGGACTCTTACAGTCTGACCATGGAGCAAGGAAAACGTGATGCGATCAAGCTAAATGAGTCGTTTGTCGGGAAATTTCATTTGGAGATTCAGGCCAAAAGAGGTCCACTTCATCACATCACTTCATCACATCTCTTGGTGTTCCGACTTCCATACATTTTGAACTAAAGATGATACCAGCATGCGGTTTTCACAGCAGTAATGCTGAGTTTGTGCTCTTTTCAAATCTGGGGAAAAAAATTGACCAGGATCGACAAACGACTCATTTAGCTTAATCGCATCACATTTGCTTTGTTGCTTCATCTGGGAAAGCAAAGCAGTGTTGGGTTGTGAGGGTGATCTTCAAAATAAAACAAATAGTGTGCTCTTGTGTAAAAAGCACAGGCCGCGCCGATTATTAACCATCTCATTGGGTTTCTAAACTCTGTGAATTTACTCATATTGTCTGAATGTTAAAAACAAATCCGTTACTTAGGTACTTATGCGTATTTTCGTCATGAATAGAATCAAGTTCCAATTACTTGCAATGCACCTGGTCACTTTTCCCTTATGGTTTATTTGATAATTTCCAAATTGACAGGTTCTTAGCTACTGCCCAAAAGACATGAAAGCGGACGTGTGTGTCCACTTGAACCGGAGTGTCTTCAGCGAGCACGCAGGCTTCCGCCTGGCTAGCGAGGGTTGCCTGCGAGCCTTAGCCATCAATTTCACTATGAGCCATAGCGCTCCCGGTGATCTCCTCATACACGTCGGTGAGAGCGTGGACTCCCTGTGGTTTGTCGTGTCCGGCTCCTTGGAGGTCATACAAGATGACGAGGTGGTGGCCATTTTAGGTAAGAAAAACTTCGGTTTGGCTGACTTTTTTTAAAATATATTTCTTGTACTAATTCTTTCACTGATTTACATGTACTGTCGACCATAAGCCAAGAACCATTGATATAACATTAAATTACCTCGGAACGCAACAAGGCAAGGTCAGATGAAGATGTAATTACTTATCCCCGCAGCGGTGCGTTCGGCTTCGTCCAATAGCCGCGTCCAGCCAAGCCCCTTAGTCGGTTTTAAACGTACCCGGCCCAACAAAGATTTATTCCCTCAGTCAAGACAACATCTTGCTATGGTACCAAACGCTGCCTGACATGCTGCATTACCAAGGAAACTATATACAATGCATGTGCATAATATACCTCTTGCATTGTTGACAATACCTTATACGTCACTGTATTCTCAAGTTTAAACACAAGGGGGATCCACTTGTGTTTTTTTTTTGGGGGGGGGATTTCTTTTGCTGCATTAAATGTCACTGTCCTGATATGATTCTCCAACATAAAAGCACTGGCGATTGCGATATTGCCCCTATGTATCAGAAGAACCTCGACAGCTACACGTAATGGAGAATTATTAGAACGTCAGTTAGCTACATTCAGAAGGTTTGTTTCTGTATTTCGAGTGCTTTTGTAATTCGAATCTGAATAAAAACTTTAATGCAAATGATGCTTTTGGCCGAAGACCTTACAAGGGACTAAATTGATCAAGTGACAATAATTTTTCTTGGTGTGTGTAGGAGCTGGCGATGTCTTTGGCGATTGCTTTTGGAAAGACATCACACTTGGCCAAGCAGCCGCCAACGTGAAGGCTCTGACATATTGCGACCTCCATAGCATCCGGCGAGACGATCTCATGGACGTCTTGAACTTCTACCAAGCCTTCGCCAATTCATTTGCGCGCAACATGGTCCTGACGTACAATCTCAGGCACAGGGTAAGACTGAAATTAAACCATCAACAGGCCAGCCGGAAGGATTACGCAAAGCAACTGTGTATGTAAATGCTTAGAGTAACGTTGACAACAATCAATATTATTTATGCGTGCGTGCAGAATAAACCCCCGAATCCTCTTATGAATTGACGGAGTCTTCCCTTCGACGCCTCTTATAGACATTTGTCTCAAATGTACGCGAATTTGGTAGTGAAGTGGAAATGAAGCAATTTGTTTTATAACATCACGGCATCTGCAGAGTGATAACTTCTCATAATACTGATGTAGGCCTATGAACCATGCCTTCTTAGTTTGGTCAATCTCATATCTGTCAAGAATTTTTTTTTATTCTGAGCGAAAGTAGTTTATTTTTTTTGACATAAATTACCTGCATCTGAAATGCAATACTATTGTCAATCACGTGCATTGAGAAGTTTAACAAGACATCGTAATAATTATATCCCTGCGCAACGTGTTGCTGTAAACATAAGCTACTTGAAATCAAGAACGTGTCGATAACAAGGCGGTTGAATTCTAATCAGATGTATTAAAATAGACAAAAATGATGCTTGAAATGAGTGTTATGTTTCCTATAGTTAGGAACAGATGAATGCACCTCAGGCCGAAACCGGAGTCTGGTTACAGCAGTGAATTTAATTTCCGTGTTTTGTTTAATCTCTTAACAGTTGGTGTTTCGAAAAGTGGCTGATGTTAAACGAGAACAGGCCGAGGCCGAGAAACGGAAGAATGAACCACCCATACCAGCGGACCATCCAGTGCGGAAAATGCTCAACAAGTTCCGTAAGCTCAGTGACGTCCCGGAGAAGAGGACATCCGCACCCGGCAAAGACGTGGAGAAGGGAGAAAACGATATAGGGTCGCTGTCAGTCCTGGCTAGGATGAAGGGTCCCATGCTAAGACGAGTGCCTGAGAATAACGATAGTCCAGGCACGGGCAGAAATGCCAAACCTGGACCGCCTAAGGAAAAGTTACAGAAGGAAACAGCAGCACCTGTGCAGAATGCAAAGCCAGCGTCCAAGTGGGGGGCCTTCAAGAAACCCAATCAGCTCCGGAAGACCGAGTCAACGGACAGTGGGATATTACGCAGTGAATCGAAGCTGGATGAAATCGGTCGCCATGACAGCAAGGAAGGCACCAGCTCAATGAGCACGTCCTCCACAGACCAACAGCTTCTGACCAGCCTCATGGAAATTAAACTTGAACTCAAAGAAGAAATTGAGCATCTCAGCGTCAAGATGAATAGACTCGATGAGCAAATTGGAGATATCATCAAGTTCTTTTCTCCCGAATCGTCTCCGTATTCATCCAATGTGCCCAGTTCAAACAGCTCTCGCGTCAGCTCTATGAACGAAGTGGCCATTGCTTCACCGCAGAAGTCGCCAATCACGGTGAAAGTGCGCGAGCATGCGGACAATTCCACTCGTCCCAGCCCTCCGACATCGGGCTCCGGCTCCAAGTCTAAGACGGGCTCAGGGTCGTCCGGGACAAGTAGTGACAAGAAACGATCAGGAGACAGGAGGAACTCGAATGGTTCCAGGAGTTCAACCGGCTCTCGGCATTCAAGCTCCAGCGAGACCCGACGAACAGGCACACCGACGTCTCCTCCGGATACCAGGGGCCCACCGCCCGTTGAGAGCACTAACATCTTAGCTCTCCTCGATCCAGATCTCCAACGCGAATCCTTCACCGACATCGAGTCACCACCAAGTCCTGACGCACATGTGCCACAGTTTTAATGATATCTAACGACACCATTGTTGTGCGTAGTGTGTGATTGTAGTACACTGATAACTTTCACTGTCATAAAGTCACTTACTTTGTAAATAATAATCCTTAACATTATATGATAATCAACCTGAGTGGACCTATATGCAATGATATACCTCGTGCCCTGGTTATCAATATCATTGATAATTAATTGCTCATCAATAACATTGATACTTGTGAATAGTGAATTTCGAAGCATTGTGCAGTTGCAAGTTGTAACAGCGCAAAGGCCTTTTATTTTTCAAGCTCAACTGATATCAACTACGCCTTATAACAATTGTTTATATCATTCATTTTGATTATGTATCGAAACAAGTGCAATGAAATGGAATGCAAAAATGGTATAGCATGGAAGGAAGTACGGAAAACATATCTTTTTAAATGATTAAAGAGCTCGACGAACAAATGCAAAACAAGACTAAAATGAAGCAAAAGCTTGAAGAGTTGCTCGGAACTCTTGCGGAAAAAACTGTTGACGATAACATAAGCAATAAAGTGATGAACGAGGTCAGTACACGGACGAATTTTCTACGTAGAGCTGTTGTAGTGTAACATACAAACAAAAGACACTACATGTATATGTTGCATTTTTTGAGCAGCTTGAGATCTGACCTGATTAATTTTAGCCTGATTAATTAATCCGCAGTAATTTGCACGTGCATGACTGGAAACGTCCCATTTACAATTGCCACCTAGTCGAATTTATCATTTTCTTTCGAAGCCTTCTTTGTTCTTATCGCGACTCCCATTTAGTTAGAGTTGAACTATCCAATACAGGACATAAATCATGAATGAACTCCACAAGCGAATGAACTCCACAAGAAAACAGAATGACACAAGATGAACAGTATGTTTTAAAAAAAAAAGTGCTTGAGCTGGGATCCGGAGGTCATCCCTCTCCGAACACCCAAGGGCTCAATGTTCGATGTGCTAATGGTCATGATTTCCCGGTAGTAATTTTCGGTTCCGTAAGAACGCATCTGTTTTACCATTCAAGCATCGTCGAATATGATCGTTTAACGAATTCATACTGACGGCAACGCCGTACAAAATGACACTTACATCACGTGAATAGTTAGGCTGAACAGCGACCGATCAACATCAACTAGCCAGAAATTGATACTTATTATGGGCAAGCTGAAGAAAAAGCTGTAAATATTAATCGTAAACATCAAAGCATTCTGTCTGTGCTATGACGTAACAGCTCTTTGTATTCTCCTGCTTTGTTTCAATTCCAATCTCATATGAATACATTAAATTACGAAACATAATTATGTCTTCAATTCAACTCACTGCTCTGATGAATTTATTCTAATTAGGATAGCGTCAAGGCGTATTGGTTTGGCAAACTCTGGGCGAATTTTCTCTTTACCGACCATCCTCTGTTAGGGCGTCCCTATATATTTCTGCCATTCTCATATGTTTTGCCTCTGAGTTCTGAAGTAGGGTCGGTCAGTCGGTCAAAACACAAATATGACCCCAAAAAAATACAGTTGCACCCGTATAGATGGCTTAATTAATTGATGCCAAGAGCGTATCGACTAGTATTGTTTTGTTTAGTTAATAGGGTTCCAAACAGAGTCGGCGGTAATAAGAAAAATAAACTTGGGGGGGGGGGGCGCAAGTCAAAAATATGGTAGGTCAGAAATGAGAACCAACTAAATCAAAAGGGATGCCCTTATCATGATGTCACACCATGCTTTGAAAAAAAAAAATATTATTTAATTAATCGGTGCGCCATTTTAGAAATTTAGTTTAAATGTTTTAGCAACGACACAGCATATTAACATGTACGAAGATCATTCGTTCTAGCATGGTTCGTCTTAGTTATGCTACAAACAATCGAGTGTTAAGGACTTGCTATACCTTACAGAGCTAATTTCACAATTAAAATGGAAGATTAATTACAAAGTATTATTGATGCATACAATCTTGCAGGGCAGCCGATACTTTGATTGCAGAACTGTCTTACAAATCTGTAACTTACTTTTGCTTTTGGATTTAGTCGGAATCGTCATTAACTTTTAACTTACTTACAACCTGGGAACCCGAGAGAGGACTGTTCCTTACCTCTTGTTTGTAAGGACACTCTAGACGATTTCTAGTCACACTTGTGTGTACATGCTATAAGAGTATCCCAGTGACGTGGTTACGTGGTATCATGAATTGCGACCATGATTTGCAGCGTGACACGCTGACGTTCATATCACATCACTTCAATGGTCAACTCTGCGGCATATTCAGCGGAGTGGGGACATTTTGCAAACGATATGATATCGATAGCATTTCAAAAATGGAAATTAGAGTAATCCTCCTGCATTTAACATGTTGTAAGAACGAAAAATAATTGAGGCTACCTTTCAACAACCAAAAAAAACCCATAATATTTCCCTTCCCGACCCGAGGCTTGGAAAGTCAGTTAGCTCAATCAGGACCCATTAAACAAAACGAATTCGGTATATAGGCCTACTCATTAGTAATCAACATAGCACACAAGATTCTTGAAGATATAATCACAGAGTATGTCCACATTTTGTTTTGTTTAAAGATCCAACCAAGTTGCCCAGGCCTCAGTGAAACCACCGTGCTGGTCATGCGTCTATGTTTCGCGAGTTGTTACTGCTGAGCTAAACGAATTATGAGTTTATAAACGACACGCAAAACTATATTTCCGAAGAATGTGGGATTTTGAGTTTGATATATATTTTTGTGACTTTTGTTAAATATGAAGGGGATGTCATTGTCATGTTAGTTTCCTCTTGTGGAGAAATTAAGTCTATTAATTAATAAAAGCGTGCAATTTATGAATATGTGCAATCGCTTTAACTTTAACATTCTGCGAGTATTTCAACCAACACAAAATGACTTTTGGCGCAATTTAGATACAGTTACTACTACGCCACGGTTTTTTCTGTACATATATCGCTTCTGCATCATGCATTTATGAGTACTAAATATTCTTTCAAAGTTTAAGATTAACAATGTGCAATTTATACATTTATTGTATGAATTATTTATCGTAGAAAATGTTTAAGATTATTTTTTTGTGATATTTATGTCATAGGCAAGTGCCTTGTGGGAAGAATAAAAAGTGAAGTTGAAATTTTTTCGCCTGTACAAAATGTAAAACGAATATTTATATTTGAATGTGTACAGCACAATACTTTAAGTGACATAGAACACTACTCGTGTCTTTCTGACGATAATGAGATGAAATCTGTCTTTTCATTTTCTTTCCATATGAAGATATTTATAACAATATAAAGGACATCCGGTCTACTTTGATTCCTGTTGACGTAAGCATGACGACAGTTTAACATCTTTGTTCAGACGGTTGGAAGTAATCGAACAATTAGTTCCATGCAAAAGAAAGGTAACATTGTAAAAATGTTGTTTGGATAAGAAGTTTTACTTATCATACCGGAAACAAAAAACTCTTCAGCTGTAGTAGCATGCTTCGTTTTTCTTTCTTCCATTTACTAAAATTCCATATAATCTTGTATATAAATTGAAGATACAATTCACGTGCACATATATTGACATGGCGTAAGCAGGATTTGGAAGTTGAGCTTTTTTTTAGAAAACTCTTTTGGAAATCTAATGTTATCACTTTTTACAAATAGTTATGTTTCACACAAATTTAAAATTCTCAACTCTAAGCAAACTACCCTAAGGTAAACAAGTGCGATACTTTTTTTTTTGTATTGTGAAGCTACACATTATTGTGTTATTATTATTATTATTGTTATTATTATTTTTTTAACATCATGAACTGGCAATTTTTCATTGAGTTTTCCCCCAAATACTCTGGAGGTTTCTACTGTGACCAAGTTTGACTGCAGAAGAGTTGTGCATTCTAAATCAATTGTAAACAGTTTGCAAGTTCGATGGATGTTTCACAACAAAAATTAATTAGTGTCGCGCACTATGATCAGTATGCACATAACATGCATGAAAACGAGTTCGTTACAACACACTGACACAAATTTAAGATCGCTTAAGATCATTTTGGTACTTTATTTTATGTATAATTATGTCTTTGTACTGAAATTAACAAATATAGGGTTTGATTATCTCTGAGTGCTTATTTTCTTAGTTTGATTGTGTTTGACAAACCTTGGGGTATGTTTACTTCGTATCCTTCGTAAGTACTTTGTATCCTTGCGTTTGTGAACAGATTGCATTCTTTCCAAATTGTAAATTTACGCTGGAAATCGCGTCTTTGGTTTGAAAGACTATTGAAAATTGATTATCAAGACCGGTCATGCACCACGAAGACTGGCACATGGTTGGGAGGCAGATTTGTTACAGTGTCCGATAATTCGACTACGCTGATTTTTATATCATTGCTTAGCTATGACTCGAGTATCTTCTTGATTGACGAATTCCAAACGGTGTGCAGACATGAACACAATTACTTGTCGGATTAGTTCAACCAGATCTTTCTTGCCTTATAAATTGTATACCTAAACAGGTTCAAACTAGTATTCTTCGGAATAGTCAGTATTCCGAAAGACGGTATATAGTGTATAAATCTATGATGCTGATTATTCTATTTTATATCTTTAGAAATAACAATGGATTACATAATTATACGACTGCAGAACGAAATGTTTCAAAACAGACAACATATACGAAAAATATGAATCAGTGACAGATGTTGGCACCATACCAAGATGAAGTCTTTTGGAAAGAATGCAATTTTCAATCTTTATTCCATTATTGTCAACTCAACCTGACGTCACTGTGACGTGCACGTATTAGATAATGACAATAAAGGACTGTTTATGGACAGATTTTATCAAGAATATGAGGACTTAGTGCAACTTTTTTTTATCGTGTTTATGAATTCATTCAAGGTATGTTGCTTACTGTACCACTGGACCCAGTGCCACACACAGCCCCTATCACGACCATACAGGTGTCTTGAACAAAAGGTGTATGGCCGAATAAAAAAGAAAGTTGATTCTTCTACAAAATGGGGACCAATCAATTTCATCGCTTTCTTATTCCCAAAAGGTCAAACTAGGTACCAGACGATTTAGAATGAAAACAGAAAAACACTCACATATGCTGGATTGAAATACTGTGCAAGAGGATTTCTCCAACGAATACTCAAGTGAAAAATCTATCGATGTAAATGCGATTGAATTCGTAACAGTGGGATATGATTATCTGGTACTAATGGACTTACTTTATATTCTTTCGTCGCCAGCAGCGAAATTGTAGACTAGTCACATATCAAAAAAAAATAAATTATCTCTGAATTTTATATATAACCAACTTAAGAAGGCGTAGGAAGGGAGAAAAGGGCTAGGGAGGGGGTAGGGGGAAATAGGGCTACGGATATAAATGCTTGGATTCAAAGTAAACAAATTACTAAAAGTTTGTATAAAATCAAACAAACAAGTTGAATATAAATATTCATTTCCAATAAATCCTCATTATATAATTGCACATACAGACAATAAAAACACACGATGAGGTAAAAGGATGATGGAAGGGAGGTTGCAAAGGGGTTGCAAAGAGAACGTGGTTAGGTGAACAATAGGGGGTGGGGGAGGTACGGGGGTCTAAGGCAAAATAAATTGGAACACTAAAATATTGCGCAAAAATTTAGCAAAATACAAATAAATACATTTAAATATAGAATTTCGACTAGAAACTAAGACCTATATACAAACGTTTTTACTGTTTGCAAAACAAGAGGGAATTGGGGCCTAATAAGAAAAAAAAATCATCTATCGAACAACTGGAAATGTATAGTTCATATCTATAAAAGTACCCATGCACCTTCCCCATTTGACTAGCCAGAATTTACAAAATTATCTTTGTCGCGTTGGGCGGTGCTTTCGTGGAATTAACAATTTTAGAAGGCATGCACATACACGTTTATGAAGTCTGGAGATTCTCTTGCTGCAAACTGAAGATGTTAAATAATTGCCTCACCATTTGTCTAGGGAGCAACCCTTACGGCAAAAGTACTTTTGCCTCCCGATCTAACCGATAACTATGAATAAATGTAATACAATGACAGAGTTACGAAAGATGTGATCTGAAGACCAACATATGCGAATAACAAGCAACTGAATACATTGACGTTACAGATTCGCAGAAGTTGAACTAAGTTGTGACTCTTCGACAGTGAAATCCTTATGTCACAGTCGAAGTGAAAAAAAATGGCGTTGAAAAGGAACTGGCCACACTGCATTTATGCCTCTAGACTTAATTACCATTCGCGATTTGAATTCATTCCCCTGCAGGTGTATTGGACCACAGGTGCGCCTTATCTCAAAAGTGTAGGAATGTCTTCTGATGCAAGTTAAAAAATATCACCCGGTACAAATCGGCTACACGAGCATGCCGCTTTATTATTAAACATTGACGAGATAGCAGGCTAGAAAATGAGGAGAATAACCTTTCGATGGATTTCGGTGTTAGGAAGAACCTCTACAATAGTTGATGCTGCCGTATACTTGCACCATGCTGTTTGTAGTTGCACCATGAAAACACTTTAGGGTGAAAGAACATTCTTATTGTCACGCTTTTATAAGTTCAAGGCAACTTCGTGTGGTACAATAAACGAGCCGTTTGGACAAAGGCGTGAATGTTGTTTCCACCTTTCTTTGTAACCTGTGCACTAACAAGTATAAGTGCAATATCTCATTAAGTCGTTCTGTAGAATGCAAGAAGGTATATAAGTACAGAACCGTCGCTAGGAATAGCACACGTACTTAGACATCATGTCAACATTGGATCACTGATGATGCTAGGGCCTTCGCTCGTACCCCCCGCCCTGCAAACAGGACGCTATGAGATACTGATGAATTCAAGCTCTGATTGGTTGGATTTTATGTGACCTGTGACTTGCGCGTCATCACGGTCATTACTCTGCAAGGCTTGAAACGACCGTTAAGACTGATTCATTAATCTTTTATTCCAGTTTAGAGATGTGTTTTTTTTTTCGTTGAAAAGCGTAATAATGTAGGAAATTCTGTAAAACTTATCTGTGTTGTAAATTTACAATTCCCGTCTCTTGCTCAGGCTCCGTTTCGAATCACGAACGGCCGGATTGCATTATGCGACGCTCAAAATTGTGTCCACATGGTCCGCAATGAAACAGAAATCACATCCGGTATGGAAGGTGTGCATTTCTAGAGCAAGTTTTCGGAAAGCATTTGCGCACATTGTCTATCTGCGGTCTTGAACAGCTGCAGCCAGATGATTTATACATAGGTCATAGACCACTTCTTTCACAAGATTCTGTGAAGCTCATCAGAGCGTCCTGTTTGCAGGGCGGGGGGTACGAGCGAAGCTAGGGCCTGGACACCGTCTGACAATAGGTGGCATATAATATTTACAAATAACAACATTTCAATGGCCAGGATAGCGTGGCCCCGGACAGTTTCTCCTAAGAAGAAGAAGTTGAAGTAGTGTCCCCCTCCAGGATCTTCCCGTCCCATGGCTGAGGGCAGCAGGTCCACTTTTTTTTCTCGTGACTGGTTGACATTTGAGTTTTTACTCCAATGTTATTTACACGCGTACTCAACTGTTTATTACTCATGAATAGGTCAATTAACTTTATGGTGAAAATGACCCTCCCCTTCCACCAGGCTGGCCACGGCCCAGTATCGGTTGAGGCAGGGGACAGGATTATCCTGTACCCTGCCTCAACGGAGAATTTCACCCCCAGGATATTGGGGAACAAAGCCACATAGTCAATGGAAATAAAGCAAAAATTAACGAGCTCATGATTCAACCTTGAATAACATTAAAGTTGGATAAAGTTGCATCATGCGGCATCTGGGATGGGTTTGGAGTTATAGGGGCGTAAGTTCAGGGCGCTATGTAAGATTAACGTTCCAACCCGTTTATATACTCGTCAGTAGTCTTGCTGATCGCATATGTCGAGGAGGGGAGGATTTTGGAATGGGTTGTGCATGATGCTTTCTTGACATTTTTCTGCTCAGTGTTAGTTGGAGTGCTAAGGGACAGAGGACAGCCGGCCGAGACACGAGTCTTTGGGCGCAGATAGCATGGAGCCAACTTGGAGCCGCTAAGGCGTCGGGTGGGATGTGTGGAAAGATCCTCCATCCATATGATCAGAGACACCCCAGACCGTCTTTTCATTCGGTTAATTCTCCGCGTTCTTGACTGCAGAAGACATCAACATGCATAGCGCCACCTAATGTCCGACTGTATGCAGACCGCTTAAACAACGCCGACTCCGTCCCCCGTGTCAGACTGAGTTCACGGTGCAATCCCTAGTACCCACTTAGATGTTCAAACCCGGCTATTCGGTAGAATTCAGGATGAAAAAAAAGGCTGGTTGGGTTAAAAGGCCTTATTTTTTAGTGAATGAGGGCGCTAGCTGCTGACGTCGTTTATTGGAGAAAGATATAGGCCTCATAGCAACTTTATTCACTTCAATCTAAAACTTGAAGATTGCAACTATGAATTTTTAAATTACAGCAACATGTACACTTAAGTCAATAACCTGTGATTCATGTATGTTTGTACCCCCAAAATGACGTCTTTACAGCGCTCGCCTACATTCCTTTATAAATATGGCCTATTCCCACCAAGGGATCCAGAACACAATTCTTTGGGAGGTGGGCCAAAAAAAATTGGTCCCCCAAAAAGTGGGTCCCAAAAATTACGGCGTGGGGTTCGGGACCCATGGGGCCCCGAAACATTTTTGGATTCTAGATGCTCTGTGGTGCGATCTGAGGCAATTTCTGACCACTTTGATCATTTTTTTAAAGGAAAAGATGGTGGTGTACGCAGTGCCTGCCTTTATTGCGACGTCACTTTAAAAAAAATGGGTTCGTGGGGGGGGGGGCATGGCCCCCGTTGCCCCCCCCCCCCCCGATCTGCCCTTAATTCCCACTTTGATCTTTTGGCTTGTCCTATGGTTAGTACTCGACAACGATGGTCTGAGGTAACGCCAGATCGAGTTGTAACGAGTCAGTCACTGAATTTTGGGACTCGAGTCGAGTCGAGTCATTTTAAGGACTCGAGTCGAGTCATATTGGGTCAAGATCAAACTCGAGTCGAGTCGAGTCACAGTGTGTGGTCGTGTTGAGTCGAGTCAAATTTATGCTAGAGTCAATTCGAGTCACTGATATTTGAACACCATCTAATTAATTACAGAATGGAAGAAGGAGCACAGTTAAACACCAGTTTATATTTTTAAGATCCAAATTTAAGTCTTAAAATGTGTTACATGCGTAGTACCCAAATAGACAGCTTATAATGGACGTTTCCACCGAAGATCTACGTTACAGAAGTGAAACTTCGGTTGTACTATGCTGGGTTGTCTTCGGATCTGGAATAGTTTGTACGCTGATAACATCATCACAATTATATTGCAACATACGAAACTGTTTCTGATCACATGTATATAGAAATTATCTACTTATTATGCTAACTAAAACAATAATAAGTATTTTTTCCCAGATAATATCCGCCATTGAATTGTGGCTTCTGCTTCGTAAGTCAATATTGTAAAAATAAAATCATCTGAATATAGCCCATTTAAGCCTTGTCAATTTTGCGTTGCGTAATTACAACGTAAGCCATGCTATACCATTTATATTATTAGGGTTGAGATAAAAATAGTTTTGAAGATTACCTTTGAATGTAAAAGAAAACTAGATCTCAAATATTTTTTTTCTTCCTAAGATAGAATTGTTCTTATTTTTTTTAAATTTGTGAACCTGCATGTTAAGCTGTAGTGTTAACGGCGATCAAAATGTATTTACCACTTACAATAGGCCTCACGTATAGCTCTATTGTTTAGTTTTGCGTAAACAAAAAAACAATTGAGGTACGTTCACTTCCGGGGAGAAGAATAATAAATTATCTCTGCTATATCCCGCCCCTTTCGTAGCCGATCTCTATCCCCATCATATTGACCTCTGTTTCCTTTTCACGATGATGCCAAGTTCATCTGATCAACTTACCGTGTTGCTCCTGTACACTGCATAGTTAATCCACACGGTGTGATCGACCATGGATCGACCAACGGCAGAACACTGACAAAACGTCAACCTCTATAAATCATTAGGGAGGTTTCGCATGCGAACGGATACGGTTAGCGCGCCGGATACGTCACCAGTTTTGTGGTTTTGATGACGTCACAGTGTCTTGCTATCCGCTATCCGTATACAAGGCACGGATATCTCGCTCTCTACACGTAAGTATTAAACGCGTATTGAAATTTCACATTTCTAATAATTCCCTGTTAGTTTATTGCCATATGATGATTAGATTTTAAAACAGATTAATTGCTGAACATGTACATGTCATTTCTTTGTATTTCAAAACTTTGGAATACGACAAGATTAGCCACAAAATCAGGTACCAAAAGTGGGTGCAGAGTGGTTCTCCGCTGTCGGAAATAGACTTCACTTAGCTACAAAAGTACAAACCTGACCCAAGTGTGCTAGCTGTCGTTTTAGCTGTATAGACCTGTGAATGTGGTTAGCCACGTTCTGTTCATAGGCTGGACTTTCAAAAACCTTCTAGTTCTGCAGTAGACGTACGTCTGTCGATTTTCCTTACAAATGACAGATCCTATGCCACTGCCACTAAGTTATAAGTAGAAGTTCTTGGATAAACTTAGCCTAGGCTAGGCCTACGGAATATGCTGAAAATAGAGTGCTCGTATAATTTTGAAATTGAAGTGGAGGGTCTGCAACCAGGATTTCAAACACTTTGAATGTCCAGTTCATATAAACAAACCGTGACTAGTCATGTATGTATATAAATATAGCCCAGTTCACAGGTCTAGCATGTCGGCAAGTGGCAGACTAGAGCATGTGCGTTTTTTTAAACCAGCTTATACATGTATATGCTTTTCTGTCAGTTATCCGGTCAAAGTTTTTCATATAGTGTTGTTATAATTATCTTTCAGGATGGCTTCAACTTCAAGCGCAAAAAAATCCTCTACAAGGTTTTACCCTGCTTTGGACATACTCGTCTTAAAGCAAGTGCTAGCTGATTGGCCAATTGGTGACACCAAAAAATGGGAAACGTTGACCCAAAAACTGAATGAGGCTGTAAGACTGATGAGACCGGATGGCCAAGTCACCATGAGGGGTTGCAAAGACCGCTTCAGAAAGCTTCTGTCTGCCTTCAAAGCAGATGAACTGGCATCACTAAGAGCGTGAGTACCAGCTTTTAACTTTCTTATTCAGGTAGTTGAAGTTATTACCTTTTATCAAATGAATCTTCAGTAAAATGCAGCTATAAGAAACATCTTTTTCTATTGACTCCCAAGTTTATTCCTAGGCAACTGTCTGTTTTCTCCTGAAGAAAAAAAAACAGTGGCATAAAGTAAAAAAAAAAATGCGGTTGGCTGGGGGGGGGGGGGGGGGGAGGTAACCAGCAGTAGTGAATGGCTAAAAATCTGGATCCAGTGCTAATTTGTTATACATATCACAGCATCATACATTATACTGTAGAACTACTGCTGCCAAAATTTCCCAAATTTTGCTGGACAATGAATCTCAATCTAATTTGACGATGAGTACCTTTATCCAAAATATGCACGATCTTGTTCACGGGGCACATTTTTTGTTCAGCCATGCCCAAAATGCAAATAAAGGATTCTTTATATACATATCTCCCTCCTGGACATTTTAGCTCAGGAACTGATGAGGAGTATGGAGAACGAGAGCGGCTACTGGGCGAAATTGTGGAGCTGGAATCTGAGATGGATAAGATGAAAGAAGATGCAGCGAAGGTAGAGAAGAAAAAGCTGGAGCAGGGAGAGACTGTCCGGCAAAAAGCCCTTCAAAGTCTCACTGAGCAGGCTGAAGGATTGAATGGTAAGCACAGGACCAATTTCAGGAAATACATGTACTCCCTTTTGCTATGCCACCGCTGAATTGCCCCCCCCCCCCCAACTCTGCATGTATTTCTGTGTCATCTACATGTACCATCACTAGTGGATCCATCCCTTCCTTAGTGAAAAGGCACAAGACTCTCCCCTCCCCCAACCCCAATCCATCCCCTCCCAGTGATGACTACTTTTGCATCATATTCTGCATATTTTAAAAAGTGACTTCCACTCTCCTTCTTCAGATGAAGCCAGGATGCAGACCCCCTCTCCACTCAAGAAACGCAAGAAAGTTGAAAGCTCCGACTACATCCAGTACTTAAAGGAGAAGACAGAGAAGGAATTTGCTTTCAAACAGCAGCAGCTTGAGCTAGACAAAGAACGTTTTGTACTGGAGAAGAAAGAGCGACAAGCCAAGTTGGCATATGATTCACAAGTGTTGCACCTTTTGCTGAAACTAACAAAGAAGGAAGATTAAATCAAATGACTTCCTTCTTTCTCTTGGTTGTTACCTCAACACGACAGTTCGTCCAGTTTTATCACATCACATTGAGAGTTGAGACCTAAAAAATGTTGAAACAGTTTTGTTGTTGAAACAGTTTTGTTGTTGAAACAGTTTTGCAATCTAAATTGTAATCTAAAGGATGGTTCATAGTAAATGCTCAATGCATAGTAATGTTCAATGAAAGGGCAGTGGTTGACTTATGGAAATTGCTCTGACTTTAATTTTCTTTAGTGTGAAGTATAATTCAGAACAAATAAAAGTAAAATCCATTAAATAAATAATGGCTGTTACAATGTATTTCTGGCATTTAGCATTTTTATTGACGAGTCAATTGTATGAGTTTGCCAAGTGTTAACATAATCGTACTGATCAGGTAACTTTTTGTTATTAAAGTGAGGGACAAGGGGAAATTTCAGACAAAATTGAGGATAAGTTCCACTTTGACAGTATCTGTGTTAATCACTAAAACAAAATGGGAGGGGGTAGCATTGGCAGTTAACAGTGGCACTTGCACCCATTTTATACTACTAAAAAAAAGGCCACATATCACCAAGGTCAATTCATGGGGAAAAAAATGTTGAGAACCTCGGGGGAGGGGAGATGGGGAGATGGGGAAACAGGGGGGGGGGGGGGACAACTTTAAGCACCTTTCTATTCTGAAGCAATTTGTCAGTGGTTTTAATAAACAGATCAAAGGCCAAAAAAAAAAATAGTCGTTCTCTGGTCACCGCGCGCATCGATTTTAATCATGCACGTCAACCTTTTTTTCTCTTAAAGTTGTCCGTGGTAGCTACAACAGCACCCTCTATTGCCGCACCTCCTCACATTTTTGTACTAGGGAATGGGGAAACTGCACCAAGGCAAATGATGGAGGGCACAAAGGCAAATTATGGAGGACACCTATGTATATGAGGACACAAAAGAGCAAAAAATAGTACCCACCTTGTCTATACAATCCAAGTTTGAAAAAATGAAAAAAAAAACCAACAAAACAACAAAAAACCGCGTCGCCGCATCAATTTCGGACATTTGGTCTGACCAGAGACCAACTATTTTTTTTAGGCCTTATAACTTAACCCTTTAAATCAGTTGATGAAATTATACATAAGTACAACCACAATTTTTTTACAATGAATTTGCTGAATTCACATTGAATTGTACATTGTATTGCAATACCCAGCCACTGTGAGGAGACGCTTTAGATCAAGTATTCTTCTAAGCTTGGGGGCTGCAATCCAAAATAATTAGATGTCTCACTGCCGTATAAACAGGTATGGCAGTTGGTGAACAGAGCTCCTATTATGTAGTACTTTGCGATTGGCTGCAACAGTAGTTTTAAGTTCTTCTTGAAGTCAAGAAAAGCCCATAGGGACAGCATCTTTCCAAATCCCCACTCTACACACTCTCTCACACTAGACATCCGCTGATTGTACAGCTGTTGCATTGCGGTGATGTGAGCCCCTTTAAATGGACCCTGGAGATTATTGTGTATTGGATATGCCGGGTCTCCATATAGGCTGAATGGATTGCCATTGACGTTGTACAGGGGCCTGGCTTGAAGCTGATCCAGTAGGCCACTCATTCGCAGGAGGGCGCAATCATGTCTGCGGCCTTCCACAGGCCCATACATGTTTGCGATGATTCCACTGGGCAGCATGACGGACTGATATTTCAGAGAATGGACTCTTTTGTGTCCATTGTAGCACACACGTTGATTGTGGGTTGGTCTGCACATCGGTCTTACTGTCCCATCAATGAATCCTATGCAATTATCGAGGGGAGCTCCATGTTGTTGAATGGCATCTGCATATCTCTGCAGCATTACACCTTGCATCCAAGGCTGGTTGATGTCCTGGAGTAAGTTTTTAAAGCGAGCATGGAGCAAATTGACTGTTTCCTTCACAATGAATGAAAGGGTAGACTTGGGGCGTCCAAAAACTCTCTCAAGGTCAGATAATCTGTTAGGATATGCAAATCGTCGAAGTGAGATGCACAGCGCATCCATACCTATAAGACAGGAGGAAAAATAAAAAAGATGAGGTTTACTTTCAAACGTGCCTTTTTTCTGAATTGCAAATTGTGATTAAATTTTTACATTTTCCGGTTCATTTTTTGTTACTAAGAAATCGCTAATTATTTAAAATGTTAATTTTTGTCTGGATATAAAGACCACAAATTGTATAATATGACTTTTCATCAAAATCATAATCTGCACTGCAGTTTTGTGAAGAACAATTTACTCACACTTTACACTGCATGAAACATGTGAGTCCTAGTAAACTATTTACTGATTTCAGGGACAAAAAATAGCTCCATCAAAACGCTGTTTTATGTTTAGGATGTTTCTCAGTTGCACAATCTGAGAGAATCCCAAATGGACCTAAAATGTTCTTAACCCTGACATCCTGTGCACAACCCTATGATTGAAACTGGTCATGCTGCTTATTTGCTGGTCTGAAAAAAATTATAATTGTTTTCTCAGTACAGTAGGCCAAAATGCTTCAAAATTGTTCCTGCTAAATTTGATTTTTAGAACCCGTTATCGCTTTCTGAAGGCTGATAAGTCACTGTAGGGGAAAATGAGTGATGTCCATATTTGGAATTATTTCCGAAAGGATGAGTCTGCCTACCTGATGCCACAGTCCGGTTCTGGCATATAATTTTATCAGGAATCCCAAATGCTGCACAGAGCCGATGAAGATTTTCACGGTCAAAACGAAACATATCCAGACACTGGTCATCTGTCAAAGCTTCCAAAGAAAACTTAGGTAAGGTAGGTTCATATGTTACTCTTCCTGTCGTAGTGCTAGCACCGGATTCGAGTAATAAAAACACAGTTTCTTCGTCATTTTCCTCTAAAGCCATGAACATGACATCGTCGATGGAGGCTGCCATTTTGGATTTTACTCGACTGTCATAGCGCCACCAATGACGGTCGATGTTCGGATTGCGAAATAAGCTGTGAACGTTTACGCGTACGGATAGCTAAAACGTACGCGTACGCGTATCTGTCGCATGCGAAACCTCTCTATTGACCTTGGTTATTATTGTTTGGTCAGTGTATTATCGTATTGTGCGCTACGTAATTTCTGTACACAGCCAGACTCAAAGATGGCGCTGTGCGAAACTCTGCCAACCTGTTTACTGATGTACACCGCTGCAGTAATTCTGCCCGTTGTGGTCTGTATTTTCGGTGTATGTGTTATTTACCTGCACTACGTGCATCTCAAGTACGCCCATATCCCATCACCACCGAGGGATGGGTAAGTCAGTATTCGTAACGGTTAATCAACGTAGGCCTATTCGGACGACACGTACGTCAAATTCAAAGCCTATACATGCATATATTTCAACAGATGAATCACATCAAGGCCAGATGAAAAAAAATACGGATTGGACAATGACTATAGCCTCGATCAGGGGGCCAAACCGAAGTGACAGCGATTTGTTGGCGACTGGCTATATATGGGCTGTGTAAGCCCTTACGATACAATGTATTATGGTGATAATTGAGAGGATAACTGTACTAATAGAAAGTTCATGGTTCAAAATGTGCAAATATACGGTGCTTTCATGTTAGATAAACAATGAATTAATTAGCATGCATGATGCAGCAGTTAGTTGAGGGTTATACCGCAGTATATACAGAGTCTGGAGTGGCTTTCCATACTTATGTTGAGTTTCTTTGATACTTTTTTTGTCACGAGATGACACCATCCTCACGGTAAGATGTCGACATCCTTAGATAATTGATCACTGGATAATCATGACCTAAAACTGAATGTCGACATCATACGAAAGGGCCTCATTTTATTGTTTTAAAGAATACCCCCATAAATTTAGGTTATAGCAGAAATATAACGCAAGGCTACAGCTTCAAACCCAGTCTGGCCCCTCCGGTTCTTATGCATTTTATTAATGGCCAATTTTAAAAATATAGTATTACATATTTCAAAATGAAACGGCGTTTTCCACTTTCTAGAAATGCAAACTTTTCGTTAGTTCATGTTCGAACTTGTAATTAGCTGTGTGACGCATTGTTTGCATTCATTGCTTTCAATCTGATATCCATTAGTAACTGAACCTAATTATGTTCATCCCCGTGGTTGCCAACATCTGACGTTGTGACTTTTTGCCCCTGAGCGTTCGTTGACCCCGAAAGTGAAGTAAATTCCAAAAATGAATCAAAACTGAAATGATAAGACATCTCTAGACGTCAACATCCTGGTTAAGGACATTAATTATCCCATGATAAATGTATCTTGGGATGTCGTCATACCGTGATATCAGGATCTCAACATTTTAGTATGGTTGGCACCCCTGCTTCGTATAGGCTTCAATACTTGATACTAGGGATAATACTCAATAATAGGAATGTATAGCAATTAATCTGTGGGTATTTGGGAGTTGCATGAAGTTAACGCAACACATTCGTCAACTTATTAATGAGAACTAGATATCCTAGGAATGGCTCACATGCGTAGCCAAGATGTTTAGATCAAAGGATATTCACTTTGTCCAAAATCGGCACAGCCATGGTTTAATTATGATCTCAGCTGTACTAGATCATGTTCATTTTGCTTCTCCTCAGGTTTTTTCTTGGACATGCGACAACTTTTTACAGAAACATGAATAAGGGCACCCCATTTGCGGAAGCCTTTCTAGACATGTAAGTAGGTAACTGACACTTTCCCATTAACAATATAGCCTACTTACGGGCACATTTGGAACAAAAATTCAATGAGGGTTAAGTACAGATCAAAACAGCCAACCTAAAAATTCCGTCTGGGTCTAATTTAGAAGGATAGGGTCAACTAAACCAGGGAAAACCTTAAAACGAAACAACCGTTGATGATGCACTCATGAAGTAGCTGAATAACTAATTGGCAGGACCCTGTTGATGATTGATGTAGAGAGATCTGGTGTGATGAAATTGGAGGGACCTGGGATTGATGAAATGGGTGAGACCTGAGAAACTATCGATTTGGAAGGACCTGGGAACGATGGAAGTGGAGAGACCCTGGTGTGATATAAAAAGAGGGATCCGGGAATGATATAATGGGTGAGACCTGGGAAACTATCGATTTGGAAGGACCTGGGAACGATGGATGTGGAGCGAACTGGTGCGATATAATAGGAGGGATCTGGGAAAGATATAATGGGTGAGACCTGGGAAATTATTCATTTGGAAGGACCTGGGAACGATGGAAGTGGAGAGACTCTGGTGTGATATAAAAGGAGGGATCTGGGAATGATATAATGGGTGAGACCTGGGAAATTATCCATTTGGAAGGACCTAGGAACGATTTATGTGGAGATACCTGGTGTGATTGAATAGGAGGGATCTGGATAATGATCGGATTGGAAGGACATCTTGGACTCGCGTAGTTACAATTCTAAGAATGCAATGTCTATACCTGTTGAGTTATTTTTATTTCACTATTTCTGGTCTTTCAGGTCAATTGAGTGCGGCCCAGTTATGGTTGCTTTTTTTTTGCACCTACCCATTGTGCAAGTGAGCGATACAGGAGCTGTCAAGGTATTCATTCCAAACGTTGAGAGCTAAATGTCGTTGCGGACGTCATTCTTTGACTGGCATTTAGCTCATGCCTGCATGTGCACTATTTTAAAACATGGACATTGCTTTCCGCTCAGATCTTCTGCCAATCAATTTGACATATCAATTAAGACGCAGTTATTTTGACGTCAAAAGTTCGTATCTACGCCCACCCCCACAGCATGATTCCTATGGCAGATGATAGCCCAAAACGGTTCAATTACACTATATTCCAATAAATCAAGTCAAAATATAGCCTCCAATCTATTAAAGGAAAAAAAAACAACATTTGCAAACATCGGAAAATAAAACTACCACGTTGTTACGAAATACCTTACTAGGATGTTGGTAAATGACATAGGTTAAGCATCCTGTAAAATTATGGCACCTGATGTGAAGCCATTTTCAAGAAAATGGTATATTTGTATACATTTCCAACGCTGGTCTCCCGACCACCGTTGGAAAAACCTAACTATTTTTCAATTACTGCTCCAAATTTACCATTTCTTTTTTTAGTCTAAATTTTTTTTTTGCTAGCTATTGGTTCCATGTTCATGAACGGGTTGCATGCCAGCTAGACTGGTTCCCTTACCGTACAATTTCCCAGTATTTTTTTTATCCATTTCATCTTTAGTGGAGTCAGGGAACCAGGCTACTTGAATCTTTTTGTTTTTCTTGGTTTTTCCAGCATTTTCGAACACAAAACTTCAAACATGTCAGTGTAACAATATTTGATCTATTATACTAACCCCCCAAATAGTTCATTTCTGAAAATTACAGCAAAAGCCAATGATGTACATTCCCTTTAAACCTTTATTGCAAATTAATGGAGTAAATACAGCTTATAATGCGATAGGCCATGCCAATGACAACCTATATACTGAGTAGCCAATTTGGCAATGGATCAATCGATACAATTTTTCAAGCTAAGGGTCTTTGTGTTAGTGCATTCTAGCTTCTTAATGCATGTTACAAAAATGAAGAGCTAGTTTTCGCAATAAGACAAATACGCCTGAAGGAGAGTAACGAGTGCAGTGCATAAAATGGGTCCAATTTGAAGGGCATGGGGCATTTTCTAGAGGAGACACCAAGTGGGTTTTTAAAAAGGAGTCCATTATTGCTCAAGCCTCGATTAGGGGCCGTGCTCCCCTCCTGCCCTATATAGGCAGGTTACTGCATGCAAAATATGTTAGTAGGTGTAATCTAGCCTTCTGGTTGGCCAGGAGGCTCTTAAAGGAAAGACACATTTTAGAGTTTCAAATGCTAGATAATGTTGCTGACATTGTCGTTTTAATTATGTTTTTATTAAATGATTTCGGAAGGAGATTTTGCTGAGCAGCGCCCATTTCAAGCCCCGTTTTACATACAGTGTTTTCAGCAAAGTCTTTGGAGCCCGCTTCCTGGGATCGGGTCTCGTGTCCCAATTGGATTCAGCAAAGCATGACAAAGTACGAGCCATGCTCAACCCCGTGTTCACACGAAAGTAAGTAATTTTTGCTACTATTTTTCTTATAGGGCCAATGAAGTGAATTTTTCTGAGGAGCTATTTTGTGAAACTTCTACTCTTAAATTTATGAAAACTTGGGGTAGTTTTCCATGCTTTTCCGGACAACCGAGGGCGCTGTTGTTGTGATGTCATTTCAGGAAGACATTCAATTTAGGTGTTTTCTGTTCAAACTGTGAACCCAAAAATGTGTTCATTGAAAACATTTTTGAGAAAAGTTTGCTCATTGGCTTACTGCCAAGTTCCGACACAACGAACCACAAAGAAAAGAATAATTTACGACAGCGAAATATCCAAAATTTTGGCAACTTTAGGTGCTGAATCTAGCTGTAACGTTGAGGTATATCTGCCTGAAATGAAATCACATGATTGCTCATGAATATGAAAAAATTGCATTAGCATAAACACCAAAAAAGGCACCAAAATACCCTTGAAAATGGCAAAATAAAAATATGAAAATAGAGATAAAATGGACACAAAGGTGCATTTTCGATAATTGCATTAACAAAAATACATTGCATGGACCCTTAAATTAAAAAAAAATCCCATGGAAAGCAACTATATACCGAATTGAATTAATTTTTTTCGGGCATGTTGTCATTCCAAAAAACACATCAGTTATTTGTAAATAAACGATGACACAAAATGACATATTCTTGGCTATGTAACATCCCTGTTTTAATTTCGAGTGTTTTCCTAAAAATCCATAAATAATTAAAATGCAAATAATCTGACTTTACCCAAAATTGGTCTCATTAATCGAATTTACCTTGAAATAAGTATGTCATATTGGCGAATTAGGAAGCAGATGTTCCCCGTACATTGTTTAATAGGTAAACGATTATTAGTGTACAATGCCTCAGCACTGGGCTAGGAGTATTAACTGGGTAAGCTGATCACAATTTTCGTATCATCCTAGTCGTAGTAGCATTTCCACTGGGATGTCAAGATGGTTGACTGTGTATAAGGATAAGTATTTTCTTGTGTAGGTATTTAGCAACCTTTGCGGAGCAGTTCAATGCAGGGGCAGAGACACTGATTGAGAAACTAAGCCAGAAGGCTGATGGGAAGACGGAGGTCGCCATGTTGGATGAGTTTAATAGAACCACACTGGATGTCATTGCTAAGGTATGACTCGATCATCATCAATAGGAATATTTATACTATGTGCATTCGTTTTTCGTTCGAAGCAACAATTAGTTGCTCAAACTTTTAAGTAGAGTGCATAACAATTAACCTGTTGAAGGTTCAGTTCAGTGTCTATACTATATATTTTTTAGAAAACTGAGAAAACATTGCACAATTTGTTTGGTCTCGTATAAACAGGACTTTGTTGGCACTGCACGTAAAAAGTGTATACACACGGGCACACTGTTTGAAAACCTTCATTTACTGTTTTCTTTCGATTGAAACCATTTGTTGCTGAAACAAAAATCACAGGGTGTTTGGATATTGGGGGGTGACCGACCGACGCCATCTTGCCTGACTGCAATATTTTGCCGCGACGCGCGGCCGTACCACTGCGTGTACATAGTACAAATCCCCTGGTGTACATACGGCACACACAAGAACAGTGCGCGTCAACCAGCTAAAATGGGACGTCGTTGCCAGGTAAAAGGGCGCCCTCTTTCGTTGGCGCACGGAGTCCATGGTGACGACTAGCGCTCAGTGCAAACCATGAATGATGATGTAAAAAGGAATAATAACGAAATTGAGTAAAAACGTAAAATGATTTAAATGGGTATTTTTGCGTTCCCATTACCAGGTGGCGTTCGGAATGGAACTGAATTGCACGATGGATGAAAATACCCCATTCAACAAGGCCATAACCTTGGCTCTTCAGGGAATGAGTACCACTTTCCAATCGACTCTAGCCACTGTAAGTTTACGCATGCAGGTTGTTGTCAAAGTTCCATTATTGCCCGGGGAGCTTGAAATGGTTGGAAGAAAGGAAAATGGTTAAATGGTATAGACCATTCCAAGCACGCTAGCTCTGATCATTCATACGGTGGCCCCCATCAATGGCGAAAGAATTTCGCCTGCTATTTTAAATAGCAACTGTCCCACGATGGATAAATATTACTGAGCACAAGCTGTCACAATGCTTTCGCCGTTGGAGGGGGCCGCCGTGAGGGTACAGTGATAGCGTGCTCGGAATGGTATGATGTGCTGATGTGGTTTGACTTAAACAAAGCTCTTTCCAACCATTCCAAGTTATTGAGCTTATATGCGTTACACAGGGGTTTTCTTTGTTATTCTTATGCATGCGTGCATGGCACAAACGTTTTACTCATGCCTATCTGCTAGCCATACAAAACCACTGCCCTCTAACGTTACCTTAACAAATCAGGTCTATAGCGTTCTGCAGCGCAGTACATACTTCCAACTGAACACAAAAGTATCGATTCACATTGTATTCAAAATTTGTTATAACTTTCTTGTTTGGATGAAAGATCCAAAGTACAAAGTACATTACTCACTTTATTCCTTCGGTATACACCAGTTCAGTCCTCTACCATCTGCCCGCAAATTTCGTCAGGACGTCCGAGACAGCATCAAGTTACTTCGGGAGACTGGCCGTCAGTGCATCGAGCAGAAACAGCGTGCCATCGAGAGACACGAGGAGGTCCCTGACGATATCCTGACGCAGATCATAAAGCAATCCATGCAGCTTGAGGAGAAGGACCAGTTACAGATGGAGGAAATCATTGATGAATTCGTAACACTTTTCTTTGCTGGTAAGAATCTAAGGTGTAAATTCGGAATTGCAATTCTTTTATTGGTAAGAACAGTGATAGAAACCCCTGCTAATAAAATGCAGGCTATTCTCATGAAATATTAGTTGAAAGGCAATATGAAACTTTGTTTCGGAGATATATCGGTTGACAATATTGTAACTTTCTTGGCTTTCCACATTACGCTAATCGTTTACGTACATGTATATTCCTTCTCTTCCAAGAGAATTGTCCCTGTGGTCCCAATAACACGAGGTCATATACAGAACTCTACCCGGCACGAATGCCCCTCTATCGAAACAAGCCTTATCGTCCCACCCTAGCGAATGACTTTAATGGCTTTGATTATAATTTTTATTTTGTGGTAGGCCAAGAGACAACGGCTAACCTTCTTAGCTTCTGCCTGGTTGAACTCGGGAATCATCCGGAAATCATGCACAGGTCCGGTTGAAACTTTTCGTTTCTCTTCAATACAGCTTATGTTATTTCATTTTGACAACATTTGAGACAGAAAGCCAAGGAAGAACTGAATAGTCAGAGAGGTTGTTTTACGAGAGCCAGTTTCGCCATTTTGTAAATATTATAGATTGTTTCATAATCTGTAGGCCCTAAACATTTTTTGTTGTCATCGGAGGCATTCAGTTTGTTTGTTAGTGGTCTGAGTACATATTTCCACGACACGTGCAACAAACCGTTATGCGTTGGTTCTGCAATAGCTATAATTTAAATTTGTTTTAGGATGCTACACAACGCCCAACTGTATTAATGACGATATAGGTGAGAAGTTGCATGCATGCTTATCGTGGTTGGTGTTTACACTCCACAGATTACGGACTGAGATCGAAGCTGTCATGGGAGACAAAGACCGTCTTGAGATGAGTGACGTTGGCAAACTAACCTACACGATGCAGGTTGGGAATCTTAATATCTCAAAACCTCACGCATGGGTGGAAGCTTATCATAATCACCGCAAACGGCAGAGAAAGGCTGAATTGAATTCATTACGGACAGGGTAGTTAATAAGCATAAATTTCATTAATAAATCACATCCAGATCACCCAAATTCACATCCTCCTCCGCAATTACATCTAGAATGAACTCTTATCACAACCTGTTACCCTTGATGTGATTTCGGACTGTAACAGGTGAATCCAATTTAATAGATGAGAATTTGATCAATACAAAAACACTTGTCCCACCTGATTGCGCCCTCCGATTGTATCCTGTATAGACTATAGGACCCCAAATGACCTTATAGTTGGGTTGTCACAGCACTTTTGGACGGTTTAAGTCCAAAAAATCTTTTGCCATGGGAAAAAAGGATTACCTCAGAGAGCTACGTCTAAATATGTTGTTAGCTAGCCGCTTGAAATCCCCCTGTAATGTTTTGACTAGGTTTTTGCTTAAGTAGGCTCAGTGTGTCCCTTCTCAGAATTTGGAGAAGAAAGCTTTGTCAGTTAAGAGAAGGTTATAACAAAGGCTATAAATCTCACCTTAAATATCCCCAAATATCTAGAATATAGTTTCCTTCATCTTATAGGTTTTAAAGGAGACCCTCAGGCTATGGCCCCCAGTAACTGGAGCGATACGGGAGCTAGGTCATGACGTGACCGTCAGAGGCTACCATTTACCAGCGGGAACCACTGTATCTGTGAGTCGCCCTCTTTTGGTTGTGATCGTCTTTTCATGCACTTTAAAAATGTGGCACTTTGTCAATGTTGTTTTAATTGTCTCGCTTCGCCTCCCAACTGCACTCGGTTTATTTTTGTTGACTTTCTGGTATATGCCAGTTCGTAATTATTATAGCAACATATTGATTGGATCAAGTAAATTGGAAAGGGGTGTAATACACAGGCAACGTGTTGACAAGCGAAGGTCTCCATTCAACCTATATCCATCCTTTCATCACCACATGCAACAGAGATGCACAACTAGTTAAACCCTTTCCCTTCTGGGTCACTTTCAAATTCTCTGAGTTTCCCTGTTTAACTCATTGTCATGAATTCAGAGTGGCTAGGAACCCTGTGTTATTATTGCCACAAACCCATAAAGGTAGAATATCCCTATGATAGTCCATGTAATAGAACCTGGCCCTGGCGAAGCCAACCGTGGTCTATGATACGTAAACAGGCGATTAATTATGCAACGAGACTGCGTATGACATCGGGAAAACTGACCAATCAGCAGGCACCTTCTGTACGCGCGCAATTCGAGCTCCCCGCGTGCGCAAACATCATCGTGGATGAGTAGCATTTTTGTACAAGTTGTTGTATTACAAAAACGCGGCATCGAAATTGACCAATCACAATCTTTGTCCTGATTTTGGAATGAAATGACGTCACGCATGCTTAGATATATCAGATGTTAGACAGGAGACTGGCTCTGTGGATAATGGTTGATACTCCGACTACATGATCGCTGGCCAGTTGAGTTTCATAAACGTATCTTTGCAGGCACACCTGCAAATGAATATAAACTCTGTGCTATCAATAATGAAAACATTTGATATTTTTTCTACATGAAGATGAACACTTACTGCATGGCGAGAATGGAGGAATTCTTCGAAAATCCAATGCAGTTTGATCCTGATCGCTTCAAGGCCAGCGACGACAAGTAAGACAAATTGAAAGGAGTTTTAATCGTGTCATTGTCACAGCCGACTATGTCCACCCTGTCTCAAGTCAGATTAATGACACTCCAAAATGAACAGTGTTAAAGGCATTTCTTTGCGATTGTTCTCACCAACTTGTGACCTGACTTGGACACATGACTTGTGAATTGACATGTGACTGACTTGTGATTGGCTGGGTCACTTGGACGAAAAGAATACTGTGCCGGCATCCATCCAATGCTTGTGGAAGTGTTTTAAATATACCAATATCTTTAAAAAAAATAATAATAATAATAGAAAACTTGCCTAAATTAAGTTGAAATACTTGAAGATATTTGTTTCTTTCCTTATCCTCTATTGTAGGGAATAACCTTGGAATATTTGTTTCTGTCATGGATATTTCAGTGGATATAATAATGATTTATAATAATTCTTAAAACAAATTTCGGAGTATTCAATTGCGAACTTCTTGCATTTAATTTGCAACGCTAGGCAATTCCATCCCCGATCTTTTGCTTAAATGTGGGCATCGTGAATTCTGGAGCTTGAACTTCTTGACAAAACAAGTCGTGTTGAAGTAATACCAATATTTAACTAGATGAATTTGTGGTTAATAAACATCGAGGTTCGAGCGATACTATGGGAAAGTCTTTGTTTTGCGTGGGGCCTCCAACACTCCTTTGGCCCAGGGCCTTCCACAACCTTATTCCGGCCCCGGGAGAAAATACATTTTGAACTTACCGTTTCAAGTTTTGGTTGTGATTTTGTTTCAGACCACTGTATGCCTACTTTCCGTTCTCCATGGGATCTCGAAACTGCATTGGTCAACAATTTGCAATGGTAAGATTATTCTTGAATGACACCCTGACATAATCGAAGAAGCTGCTTTCGATTTTATTTTGAAAAAAAAACGCTGTTCTCTTTTTGTTCTGTCGCTTCTTCAGATCGAGGCCCGTATCCTTCTAGCGAGACTTCTGCACAGGTTCCACTTTGACCTGGTGCCTGGCCAGGGCTACGGCATCAAGGACGAAGTCACGCTGAAGCCGTCGGGACGATGTAGAAATTACATACGGCTGGTGGAAGAATCTTAGTACTGGTGAAAGCGCCATCAACCGTCAAGAAGAGCACAGGGGAATATATTGCCCCTGTAAGTCACTCTATTACACGTTCATCTCTTGGTGGTTTTTTTTTGGGGGGGGGGGGGGGAATGTTCTTTAATACTGAGATTGTCATTTGTAGCACATGTACTAAATCACGATGATGAAAAATACATTTACACAGAAAAGGTTTATGTTAGGGAAGTGCAATAAAAAAATTGAGAAGTTCAAGGAGTTTGTCACATTTTGAGATTTGGGCGAAGTTATCAAGAGGCCTTGAAATTTGAATAGGTATTGCCATGGTTCTCTTTTTCACACAAAGCACAGCTTTGCTTTCAATGGAATTAAGAGCCTAAGGGCGATTCCACGCAAATGTGGACACGGTGAAAAGTAGAAAAGTTATGACATCACCAAAACTACACACGTACAAGCAATACAACCTCAAATGTTGCGTCAAATTAAAGGTGACAGGCAAACCTTTCACTTGAGTGGTGATCCGGTGCAGTGAGATCGAATAATGGTTAAATGTAATTGTTGTTTAAAAAAAAAATGGGGGTCCTGCCTAATTTTTTTTTTGAATAGTCATTTTGACACCTCGTCATTGCAAAATGCAAGTGTTACCAGGGTTAGCGATTTTCTTTTTACAAAAATATCCCCCACAAATTGATGTTTAAAATTTAAATTAGATTATTTTTTTATAATTTTTTTTATTATTATTTATGATGTGAAATGTAGATAAGGCCAAAAAAAAAGTCTCCGGTTTCTGGTATGCGCGCGCGTCGCCGTAGCCATGCGCGTCGGCAAAATGAAAAAGTTTTTTTTTCAATGAAAGATGAAGTCTCAAAACCGCCAAACTCACTGGTTTGACTGGAATCCTGCTGCTGCACAACTTTAACGTGTTTTTAGATTGGGTTATGGTCGAGAATAAGCTTTATGTGGCCTCTCTGGTCTCCCATTATATTTGCACTAAGTTTAGTCGGGCACCATTTGCAGTCATCTGCCGACATTTGAAGCAAAAAAAAACAGGTAAAAAAAAAAAAAAAGCCGCGTCGCCGCACCACTTTTTGGGCAAGCTCCATACCAGAAATCGGAGACTTTTTTTTTTGGCCTAAGGGTACAATGAGAGGATTTCCACCAGATACATGTACATATTGCATGGGCCGTTCTGTGGAAAACAAGCCCCCCCCCCTAAACAAAATAGACCCATATTGTACATGTAAATAAGGGACTTCAGCAGCGCACCTCTTGAAGTTTGTCGTGGATTTTCATTGAAATATCTTCCTATTTACATATTTTAGCTTTTAAGTAAATAGCGTCTGTTAATCACTTCAGGTAAAGGTAATGAAGAAATATATATATGTACATCACCCTCGGTGTAAAGTCTCTTTTAGCACGAACATTTCTGTACTACAGTAGATACAGTTTGCGCAAAGTACTTAAATTCCTTGCTGGTTAGCTCATTTATTTCAACAAAATCTTAATACAAAATATTTCTTCTTTCTTGAAACTGTAGAAAATCATGCCATCTTTTAAAATTCAGACAGTTTAATACAAGAGCTTATATATTTAATGACAGAATATAAATGTGTACATTTAATGATTTTCATAAACTAAAATATGTTCAAAAACGAATGAATGATTATTTACTCGTCAAATTGCTTTATTTATTCCTTGGCGCAGTCCAGATCTTACATGTGTAACACATCTCGGTTACTCTCTATGGAGGGGATTTAGTATTCTTTTTAGTGGAAATGAAAATCGCAACATTGCATGATCCTTCTCCAAAACTGGTGATTTGGTCATTTTGGAAATAAAACTCTTGAGGTAACGATACTCCAGAGATAGGGGATGGGGGTAGTGGTCAGAGGAAAGGGGAACCGAGCTATAATTCAGGTATGTATTACATGTAGTTAAATGATTTATTACATAGTGGCAAAATTATAGCATGCAGGCTTAGCGAGTGCAGGTTCATATCAGAACTCTCTATACTATTTTTGGAAATGACTGAAAACAAATTACCCCAAATTGTTGGGCCAGTTTTGTCCGAAAGAGGGGCACTTGGGTAAATCTGGGGGGGGGGGGGGGGGGACAAATCCCCCCCCCCCCGTTCCACCGCCCCTGACTACTGAGCAAGATAATCAAATATCTTGCATCACCATAACATGGTACATGTACTGTACATGTTTACATTGAGATTTTTTTTGGTGGGGGGGGGGGGGGGGGGTATACAATGCCCCCACACCCCCCCAAACAAACAGAATTAGATCAGGGAACAGGCCAGTTAGTTGATGGAGGTGAGGGGGATTTCCAGTGGATGGAGGGTGGTTTTAATATTCCATCTACAGTGGATGGGCTGGGTGCGGTCCGCTTTAGATGAAACAGTGTATGGCTGTTTATCAAATATGGGAACAGCACTTACAAGGAAGCTGCTCTTCATAATAATTTGCAATTAACTACGATAAATAGCATCATTCGTGATTATGTACATGTATAATGTGGTGCATATTGCATTTCTTTTTTACTATACGTCTGAGGTGAGCTTGCCTTCCTAAGAGATGTATTGAGTACATAAAAGCAGTATCGTAATCGCAATTCCATTGTGGCTCTTTTTGTTTTTGAATCAGTTCTTGAGAAGTCATTCCTGCAAATCCACACTCCTATGTTCCTCGTTTGTCGATGCAGATATTGGGAATATTTGCACATGAGTTAACGGCATCAAGCTTCTCTTCAATCTGCTTCAGGTCTGTTGTGAACACTCTAAGATTGTGGCACACATCCTGTGGAGAAACAAAAAAAAACATAAGGAAACTTTTAAAAGGTTAATCAAGCTTGTCGCCCAGTTTCAAAGTGCTGTACAGTTTTCCTTTTTTAACAATTCAAATTGTAAAAGTGTTAGTCACCAACCGCATTTCACATAAATACGTTAAGTTCATTTCCTTCAAAGCATTCCGTTGTATCACTCATTTACTGCTACAACAGGTAATTTTGGGCAGTCACGTTTCTAACATATCAAAATATCTTCATTTACATAATGCATTTTAGATGAGTCCCAATATAACTACCCCTGTCCACTAATATCTATCACAAGGCTCAGAAATAAATTCTGTTCCAAAACTCCTACTCATCCCAGGTCTCTTTGGGAGAGTAAAGGCCCTGAATTCAGAGACTTTGGGTCAACAACTCTGCATGGTCTACATGTACTCCAGAGACATCACATCCGTCCAACATGAGGCCAAAATTTGTAGAATATGCCCTGGATTTGGACTGAATGCCCATTCGGATTAAATGATGTTATGACATTCATTTGGCTTTCGCTTTCTTGTGTTGTACACATATGAAGTCAGCATTTCTTTGCATTTCTTTGCAAGATTTCAATAAACATTTTGAAGACTCTGCCAAGAAACAGAGCTTAGACTGGTTACACTATGCTAACAAATGAAAAATAGGGGTGCGTATTATTTGGGCAGTACGGAAACCGGGTACATTGTACCCGATTGAAGAAAACACGGGAACCCGGGGCCCCGTTATAGAAACCCAACCCCAAATTTAAATCTCGGAAGTTGCTGCTCCGATTGTTCATTAATTACTATCACATCAATGTGTCAATACAGCAAGATACAAGTGTGAGCTTTATAGCTTTACCGTGTAAAGTGCAATTTTTCCATGTAGCCTGGTTTTCTTTTGAAAATTCCCCGCAAATGACATTCAAAACGTTCTTTTTCGTAGTCTGAGAAGTTACTAAGTAATGTGTACACTTGGTTATGGGTACCCGATCCCATATTCTGGAACCGGTTCCTGACATCAACAGTCGGGTGCTTGGTTCCGATGCGCAGCCCTAATGAAAGACAAACTGCCTACATCAAAAAATTAGTTTGAGAAACAAGACAAACTGTACCTGAATCACAGTCTGTGACTTGCCGAGCAACTGGTTAGCCTCAGCCAGTTCCTTAGCCGATGTATGGAACACACTGGCAACAGCACCATACAGTGCAGTCTGTAAACATGCATTCCTCTCCCGTAGTTTGCGGTGCAGTAATGTGTCATACTTCAGGGCCGGCAGTTCTTTTTGAGAGGACGGCTTGTCATGTTGGTCTGACTTTGGAAATTGCAGACTGTGGTCTTTTTTTCTTGATGAAAACTCAACTAAAACAAAGGGGAAAAAATTAGAATACAGATGACACTATATGTACTGTCACACCAGCATAGAACATTTCAAAGATACTGCCATCTTTAAGATCATGTGGTATAGGCCTATAATCTTTAAGGGCATTTCATTGAAAATATGTCCCATCATGCTATTTTATTTTATCCACCTGATGATGGGACGTATTTTCAATGAAATGCCCCCACAGATAACCACGTGATCAAAAGGATGGCGATATCCGTGAAACAGTGCATGCACATGGGGGTGCCTTCTACTTCCATCACAATTTGCTAAAAAGTATGTTTAATCTGTTTTTTTTTAATCACTAGGTACACAAAGTATGTAACACAGTGTACAGACCCTAGTAGGCTGGGGTCACATGGAAACAAACAAATATGCCCTATTCTGTCCGACTCACACTGTCACACTTTTCTTTTTCTTGATCAGGTTTATCTGACTGTACATCTAATACACATACAACATGTATTATAATGGTGGTGTATATCTGACCATGAGCCGGTGCGATCCCCTATTGTTTGCGCTCTTTCAGCGGCAGTGCAGTGAACATGCGCAGTGAGCATAATTGGTGACTTCTCACTGTGCTGAATCTTTGTCTCGCTAAACACTTACATTGCCTTTGTGACTTAGTATTTCAAAAGATGGGAATCAGACCTAATGCAATTTCGGACACTAGTTCCCTTTATTTAAAGGAAAATCCTCCAGAGCAACGAATCAGAAAAAGCAGATGAAACATTCTGCAAATAAATTTAGGATTCGATTTAAACAATAAAAGAAGATAATTCTTACTTTTTTGGGACACAAAATATAAAGTTTCAAAAACGACATAGCATACTGCATAGCACAGCATAACTCGAATTCGGGCTGCATAATTGCGAGGAGGGTGCACTATTCACCGCTACTACAGTACTAGTAGTAGTAGGCCAAGCGTATGCTCAATGCATGTATGTTGGCAATAGGCTATATGGTGTAGGCCTACTTGTATCTCCGTGCATGAGGGCGCTATATGATCTGCTAGCTTCAGAACGGAACGGAACAAATGTGGAAACGGTTTTAATACAGCTATTTAACTCTTTTTTTTATGTCATGATGAAATTCTGACAAAATCCGAGTTTCATGAAACTAGTAGTACTAGTTGAACTATACCTTTCAGTGGGGGTAATCCTTCGTGCCTGATAGGATCAGACACTGATCTCTTTGGTTTCATGCTCGTATCTTCATCGCTGTCTGTTTCCGAGGCTTCTCCCTGTACGATCACCCCGGGCTGGGCGCTCAGCGTGCGCAGCGGTCGCGGCCGTGGGGGCTTGGACGGGCGAAGTCCGGCATTGGTCTCCCCGCCGCCAGCGCTATCCGTGGTGTCGTCGTTGGTTGTCCCTTCATCTCCATTAGAACTGACTTCCTCATCTGTATCAGACTCCTCCGCCTCACCGGAAACCACAGATACAATTTTTGACATGTTATCCGCTGAATTATGCCACTTGCTTACAAATAAAACCAACTTATTTGGGTCAACACCGATTGCGATGCTGTGTCACACTCACACAGTAACAAACCGTGCTAAGTAAACACTAGATGGGTACCCGAGTTATCACCGTGTGATAAAATAACGTGACCTACTTACAGGTACAAGACAACTCTGTGGCTTTTATTCTACGGAGGCTGCGATAATACACAAACGAATCACGAATACCTCTGTCATTGCATTATGATCATAATTTCGCTCGTACCCCGCCCTGCAAACAGGGCGCGAGCTGGGATGAGCTTCACAGAATCTTGCGAAGGAAGTGGGGTGGCATTCTGGGTAATTTATCATGACCTTTGCATAAAGACATGAGGCTGCAGCTGTTTAAGACCGCAGTTAGCCAATGCGCGCAAATGCTATCCGAAAACTTTCTAATATAGAAATGCACACATTCCATTTTGAGCGTCGCATAATTTGAAACTTGACCCTTCGTGAAATCGAACTAAACGGAGTCTGAGCAAGTGACGGGAATCGAAAATTTACAAAACATAAAGCTTTACAAATTTTCCTGCATTATTACGCTTTTCAACGAAATAAAAGGATTTATGAAAGGGAATAAAAGAGTGATGGCTCAGTCTTAACGGCCGTTAAAACATTGCAGGGTCGTGGCCGTGATGATGACTTGCAGGTCACAGGTCATGCAAAATCTATTCAATCAGAGCGCAACCTCGTCCCTAGTGCTTACTTAATTTCCAACCTAGTTTCCAATAGTAAGCCCTGGATAGGAAATTTTCTTCCTGTATCCTGATTCGATACCCGCGCAATTGGCTAGTAATGGATTTTTATCGTGTATTTGGTGGTGTTATTCACAACGCGCAGTACGTTTTTTTCGCGATTATTCGTCCACGCCTTCTCGAAAATACTCATTTCCTGCTCAATTTGTTCATATTTATATGAAATGTGATACTACATGTTGTCTCGATAAGATCGCAACAGTTTATTTAAATAAATCGTGTTTTCGTAACTCACGCCATGCTCGCGCTGTGACGAATTGACTCTGCTTCTAGCTACCCCAGACACCGCATACAAAAACAAACGCTAATGTAACGCACAAGCAGGCACCAGACTATTCCTAATTTGCATACATGCTCAAAAATCTTGCACATGCAAATGATCCAATACCAGGACGAGAGAGCAAGTATTGATGGACGCGTACTGCTCGACACCCCGAGGACGAGGTTGATCAGAGCGTCAATTCCTCAGCCCTTCCCAGCGTCCTGTTTGCAGGGCGGGGGGGGGGGGGGTACGAGCCAACATCTGAATAGTCAAGTGGAATTAGATCCAATGTTTGACAAGATAATGACCAAATGGTGCAAAAGCACCAAACTTGGCAGATACATTCTCATGATCGACCTTAAAGAAGATGTTTAGAAGTTAAAGGGGTGACACAAGGGGTGCCTAATTTGCTTAAATCGTAATAGCTGCCGTGTAATACATTTATTCCCATATTGCACCCTTTTTGCCGACTTCCATTGGTCGAAACCGAGACCCACGCCATGTCACGCCGAGTGACACTAATGAATATACTACCACACGCTATATTGTGTGCCAGGCCGAAATCGGTCAGCCGTAGTGCTGGAAATTTCGGTTGGAAATTTCCTGGAAATTTTTTTCCTGAATTTGGTTCGAAATTTTCCTTGGAGATGGTTCAAGTTGTAACATTAGCGTCCGCAACAACAGATTCAGCTGGAATTTGGAATATACTAGGTAAGCTTTGACAGTATTGCCGTTTCGGCATCGATGACGGCGATTTTTTTAACTGACATGAAGTTTAGAATTTCTTCTTCAATTAGAATGTAACATTAATTTTCAATCATACCGACCATATTTTCTGAGAAACACAACGTTCAAAAGGCAATGGGGGGGGGGGGGGCTCACGAATTTCACGATCGATCTGTTATACAGCGTCTTAGTACGTAATCGGATTAGCTTTCCCCGACAACGACCGAAGCTTTGCCTTCGCAACCATATGGCTGTGTAGAAACTTTTTTTTATCCTGACACTCGGCCTCCGTAAAATCAAATAGTGTGGGTTGGGGAGGGGGAGGGGAGGGGGAGCTTGGAGGGACGCGAAGGCGCTGTTCAAAAACGGACATTTCATGGCGACACATGCGCGAAATTCACAAAAAGGCACTGGTAACGCCCGATATGGCACAAAAGAGCACTTGTTCAGAAAAAAAGCACTTAATTGTTAACAAAGAAGGACAATCTTTACAAATATGGGGGGGGGGGAGGGGTAATCGCTTGTGAAAAAAGGCATATGAATGGAAGAGGGCAGTTATTACGCCTATGATACGGAAAATCATGTGAAAATAATGACATCATAGTTTTTAGTCCAGAAAAAGGGGGGGGGGGACGAGGTATCTGTAAATTGGACTTAAATTGGGCCTTACATGGGGGAATGGAACAGATTCAAAGAAATTCCCAAATTTACTTGATATGTGAAGAAAAAAAAACATTTTGACGTATATAGAAATAACTGTTAAAAACAACCATAATCTCTTATTTTGGGGATTTTCTTTGAACAATTTTACGAACAACAATGCGACAAAGAGTACCCCCCCCCCCCACCCTCCCCAACAAAAAAAGACCTCAAAAGCAACGCAGAAATTACATGCGATTTTTGCAGTTCATTTAATTTCCAATTTAAGACTATACCTCAAAGACATTTTTACCTTCTGGCATGATACTCATATGACACAGGGTTCGACTTTAGCGGTTGTCCACTAACCAAATGCTAGTCAAATCAGCTAGCGGCGGGCTAATCAAACAGTTCCTTAAGTAGCCCGGCTGGCAAGTCAAAATTATTGGGATACGGCAAAGATGACAGCAAAGGAAGAAATAAATCATTAAATTCAGAAAGCAAACCTGTACCAATTTGTGTATAAATTGTATTAACTATTTAGGGTTAAATTATTTTATCTGTTTAATAAAAACACTGACAAGATTGACTCAGGATACATGTTTGACATGTATGCACATTATTGCATATGGGACACTCTATAAAAGAAAAAAGATGCGGGCCAGGGAAACTACCCGCGGGCTAGTAAAAAGTCAGTCTCAGTATAGTGAAACAAACGAGTTAAAGTCGAACCCTGACTCATGTTGAACTGTACATTCAAACATTTCGCGTACATGATTTCAAATAGATAATGTCAACATTATACTAGGGAAGGTGTTCCCTCAGCAAAATCAACAGTGAGGCCAAGAAAAAAAGTGTTGTGTTTCCTATTACCTAATTTTATTTTTAGGATCGGGGGTACATTTTTTTCTCTAAATTGCTATAGCCAAATATATAGGGTGGGGTGTGTGGTCGAATCCTGTTTCTTTAAATTTGGTTGCATGCAATAGTAACACATGAATACATGTATGTGACTGCTATGAACGGTTCATTCTGCCGTTTGCTGCACTTTTAGGCTTCGTTTTAATACTGCACTGCCGGGAAAAAAATGCAGAATGATGTTCACAAAACCTAGGGTGGGCCGGCACTATCAGTTTTTAAAAACAAATTAAAAAGATTTAGAATCTCTTGGAATTTCTAGGTTGGTTTGGGTAATCAGAAACACAGGCGAACATGCGCTCATTAGCAAAACAGTTTTTTTATCGAAATGGATGTGACGATGCAATCTCACCTTTACTACGTACAAGTTTACCCCCCGCATGCACTCTGATGAAAACTAGCTACTGCAGAAACCATAACCGGCTGAAGTTTCCTTGAATGACTAAAAGCTGAAACCAAAACACAACTCCCTACGTACCTTGAGTGATCAAAGGATATACATATATGTCTAAACTTAACTTGATATATAGTTATTATGTCATAGAATTTTAACGATCGCCCGTTGAGCGCTGACCACGCTGTCAGCAAGTGGCTGATCATGAACTGTCATCGAACAACCTGAAAAAAATGAAAACAAATAATCTGTAAGGTATGGAAACGTGCCAAGTACATACATCTGCTGAAACAAAATGCACCTCATCAAAAACCATCGCATTAACTTGTAACCACTGGCGCAGCATGCGACCAAGTCTGAAATAAAATTGTAAGACAAAGTCCTGAAATTGTTCTGGATTCACGGTTTAGTAAAATAATTAGCTTCGATAAGACCTAATCTTCATCTTCAATTGACTTATCACCGTTTGTGAGTTAGCAACACCCAATTAGACTACCATATGGCATGTTTGTACGTTATAGTATACAAATATAACATGGTTTGAGGGTGGACAGTCGATATTCGCTCCCCGAGGTATTGGAAGTTGACAAACTTGTTCCCGAGGGGAAGCTGAGGGAACTAGTTTGTCAACTTCCAATACCGAGGGGAGCGAATATCGGCTGTCCACCCGAAATAAACCATGTTATATTTGTTTTACTATACCTCATACATATAAAACTTCACCAGTTCACCAAAAGAATCGTATTGCTCAACTTCACTAGTTCAGTTCGTTTACAATGCAGTGCAGCTGTAAATAGTTTGTGTGCAACATTCTTTTGTACAGGAGACATCTTTATTGTCCATAAATATTTTCTAGTTCGGCATCATTGAGCTCGCTCGGAAAAATAACGCACCGTGCAACCACTCTCATCAAGTGCAACTCGTTTGGACGATGTTCGCGCGTGCGTACTACACCCGTGCGACAGTTCCAAGATTGCTTTGTAAAGCGCATGCGTAGTAGACTGTCTCACAGGTAACCTGTGCGACAGTCTACTACGCATGCGTATTTACCCTGTGCGTGAATCCTCGCGCGCGCGCTTGGTAAACAGCAAGAATAACATCTGGCATGTGATGGCGAATTGACCAGTGAGTGTTCGGCTCTCGACCATGAATATGTATGAGGAATAGTTACTTTGTTTGTCTCAGATGTTGCGCCTTCTGCGTCCATTTGTATATCATGTAATTGGACATTATATAACCGACATACATATCCTTGTCATTTGATTGGTGGAACTCACATCACGTGGCATTCGTTATTGCTCCCATTCATGCCTCGGCTCAAAAAGTATTACTATACCTCATACATATTCATGATCAAGAGCCGAACTCTCTCTGGTCAATTCACCATCACAT